ACACCAGGAGGTGTTTCTGACCAGTGTCCTGGCACCGGGGAGACCTGTGAGGAGCTGGGAGGTGCCTGGTATGGAGCTGGCTGTGGCAGCACTGGAGTAAGGAAAGGCTGTTATTTGGAGACTTTGCCAGGGGCTGCCTTCAGCCTGGGTGGACTGACCTCAGAACCAGTGCGTCTCTTTCCTGTCTGTGCACTTGCCCTCCCGCAGCTAAGCAGCAGCGGCCGGGACTCGGGTCCTCTGGGCACAAGGTCTGAGCCTGGTCATGTCCTCCCTGGGCTTAAAGCCCAACACTAGGTAGTCCCGTGACCTTGGACGAGTTACTTCCATATTCTGACTGCATCTTAGTGTCCTTCTCGGTAAAGCAGGCTGATGACAGTAGTATCTTCTAGAAAGAACTGTTGTGAGGGGTCCTGAGTGAGGCCTGGGTGCTCAGCAGGGTGCCTGGCTCTCAGGAATGTTGGAGGCCACTGTCCCCAGCCCTGACTGGGTAGCTGCAGTGGCTCCCCAGGGAATTACAGCCATCCCAAGGCCATCCCCAGTTGCCTGTCTGGCTGGGTGGCTGACACTGGCTGGTACCCAAGTGCAGAGTGAAGTTAATCCTGTACCGGAAATGGCTTTCGATAAGATGGAGCGCAGGGCGATTTTCTCGGGGGGAGGGGGAGCAGGGGCAGCGAGCAGGCAGTCCCACAACCTGTTTGACAGGTGGGACTGCTGTCTGGGGAGACGGGCTTGGTGTGAAGTGCCTTTGCTGGGAATGTTTGGAGTTGTCTTGTTCTAGGGACGCCTGCCCCTCTCAGAGCAGGTCTTTAGAGGACTTGCCAAAACACGCAGACCTGAAATTATTCTTAAATGTCCTTTTCTTCATTCCCCAAAGCTGTCTGCCCTGGACTTTAGGCGCTGTTTCCTCTGCCGAATGGCCACCCATTTCAAAATGCTCTTGGCCCCCATGGCGGCGCCTCGGGAAGGAGGGTTACAAGGAGGTTGGCTCACAGGCGGCTCCCCAGGGAATTACAGGCAGGGCCCTGGTGGCTCGCATCTGTTTTATATGTGACACTGAGGATCCCAGTTAGATTTTGTTTGGGGGGGGAAACCAAAAATGCATCCTGTTGCCACAATAGAGAGGGAAAGCAGCATGAATGCGGAGGCTACGCGCAGGCTGGGTCTGTGCCTGCCCGCGAGGACTGGGCCTCTCAGCCAGGTCTCGTCCCACGGATCCCGGCGTGAGTCATGCCTGAACGAGCTCGCCTCTGACCCGCGGAGAAAGCAGAGAAATGCCTTCTCTCACCTCAACCCGCTCATGAATCACACCCAGCTGCCCAGCTGTTTGCTGCACTTCTTTCTGCCCTGGGAGGAGGCGAGTGGAGTGTGTGTGTGTGTGTGTGTGTGTGTAAGAGAGAAAGAGAGACAGGCAGATGAGACAGACAGACATTCAGCGGATCTTTGGAAGCTGTTTAAATCCCTACTGACAGCTAGTGCTCCTGGCCTGATGTTTGTGGAAACCAGCGGGGCAGGCGGAGGAGCCAGATGGGTGTGGGGCTGGGCTAGGCCCCAAATATGACACTACCTACAATTGGGGGAGATGGAGTGATTGTATCTGTAGTTTGAATCTGGGTCCAGTGAAATCTGCCTCGGGAAAGACCCCTCGCGTGCTCTGAGGCCGGGTGTGAGTCTGTAACGCTGCTAATGCTTTGCGGGCCCTGGAGGCCTCCGCTGCATGTTCCTCTTGGGTCTGACTGAACCTTGCCGATCCTGCTCCACGGGGAAGCTGGGCGGGAAGACCTCCTCTGTGCAGCCTTGCTGTGGAAGGCGAAGATGAACAGTGTCAGCTCCTCCCCCACGGGCGCCGTTGCCATAGCAATGGTGACTCAGTTGCACTGTCTGGCAGCGCCAGGTTTGTGTAGGAATGTAGGCTCCAGCCCCAGAAGTGGTACGAGAGCTGCTTTGACAGTGAAGCATTTGCGATTCCATGGCTGTGGATCACCAGCGTTTGGAACTGGCTGGCACGTCTGGAATCGAGTCTTAGATGGGGAGACGGAGGTCCAGAGAAGCCAGCAGCGTGCCCAGCTAGTGCGAAGCTTGGTTACAAAGTGGGGGGAGGCTCTCTAAGAACATGGCGCCTGCAGGGTTAGTGCCGACCCCGGTGCGGTGTGTTCCCCGTCTGGTTTCCTGGCTCTCTCTGGTTGAGCCTCTGGTGGGAAGCTTTTCATCTGAACAGTAGGTGCTCAGTTACTACTTGGCGAATGGTTGTGTTTGCTGAGAGGACAAGGTTCAGGCATCTCACACCCACAGACACAATTCTGACCTCCCAGGAGAGTGGCTCATGTGTGCCAGGTTTTCTTTTCTTTCTCTTTTTCAGCGATGCCAATGCAGGTGTGGCCGGGCTGCCAGTCTCCTAGCACTTCCTGGCGGTGGGGGTGGGGACCGGTGAGTTCTCAGAGGAGGGTGCTGTCCCCAGGAAGACGACTGGGAGTGTCCAGTCTAGCTCTGCCCAGGGCGGAGTCTAAGGGAAATGCGTGAACTGGCAGGAGTTTGGCCTTGGATTTTAGGAAGCCTCTTGAGCAGTGCCTATAGAACGCATGCTTTCTGTCAAGTTTCAGAATTAAAAGACATTTGATTTTTAGTAAGCAGGCATAGTAACATTTAATGTGGACATTTGGTGATCCAGAATGGCTGGTAAATGATTTTGCCTTCTCTTGCCTTTGCCAATGTGGTTTTTAATTTAGTAAGAACTAGTCATGTAAGTTTAAATTAATGACACTCAACCTGCAGTCCTGCCAGGTGTGTGGGTGAGGAGGAGGCACCACTGGTTTTATTTAGAAATGTGTGTAGGGCCAGTGGTCAGGTGAAAGCCTTGGCCGGGGACAGCCCAGATGTAGCTGCAGTTTAGCATTTTTCATCATTGTGCCCGAGTGAAAGATTCCAGAGCAAACTTCTTGTAATTAGCCCCATTGGCTGTGGGCGGTCCCTCATTTCTGCGGGCTGGACGTCGTAAGCCGGGGGTTGTGTGCAGCTGGTCCTCTGCTGTAGATATCCCAGGCCCATAATAAAAATATGTTCAATAGCCCTAGCCGGTTTGGCTCAGTGGATAGAGCGTCAGCCTGTGGACCAAAGGGTCCTGGGTTCGATTCTGGTCAAGGGCAGGTACCTTAGTTGCAGGCTCTTCCCCAGCCCGGGCCCTGGTCGGGGCTTGTGCAGGAGGCAACCAATTGATGTGTTTCTCTCACATCGATGTTTCTCTCTGTCTGTCCCTCTTCCGTCCTCAGGTGATGATTAACAACAACAACAAATTTCTTGAATAAATGAGCGTGTTCGTTTTCTCTTGTTGCTGTAGGACAGTGGTCGGCAAACTGCGGCTCGCGAGCCACATGTGGCTCTTTGGCCCCTTGAGTGTGGCCACGAAGTTTCAAACGCACTGTCCGTGCGCGCCGCACGTGGTATTTTGTGGAAGAGCCACACTCAAGGGGCCGCAGTGTGCCGACCGCTGCTGTGGGACATGACCACAAGTGTAGTGACATAAAACAACACAAATGGGGTCGGAGTGTGAAAGGTCTTGCTGGGGTGGAATCCAGGTGTCCACAGCACCTGTTCCTCTGGAGGCTCCAGGGCGAGTCTGTTTTCTTGCCTTTCCCGGCTTCTGGAGGCCCCCCTTCTCTGCCCGCCGCCCTTTTCCATCTTAAAGAGCATCACTCCACTGCCACGCCCCTGACCCCCCTCCTGCCTCCCTCTTCTAAGGACCCTGTGATGACATCGGGCCACCTGGGTAATTCAGGATAGTCTCCCATCTCAAGACCCTTAATTTAATCCCCCTGCAGAGTGCCTTGCCATGCGCGGCAGCTTTTCTGTCCCTTTGCGCCCCCCCCCCCCCCCCGCGCGCCTTTTGGTGGGTCCTATTTGGACCCCTGCTCGAGCTTTTGGCCTCTTCCGGGATGGGGGACCTTTGAAAGTGCTTGTTTTAAGACGTTTTCTTTTATTTATTTTTAATATATATTTATTGATTTCAGAGAGGAAGGGAGAGAGAGAAAGAGATAGAAACATCACTGATGAGAGAGAATCATTGATTGGCTGCCTCCTGCACGCCCCACACTGGGGATCGAGCCTGCAGCCCAGGCATGTGCCCTGACCAGGAATTGAACCGTGACCTCCTGGTTCATAGGTTGATGCTCAACCACTGAGCCACGCCGGCTGGGCTGGAGGGAGTATTCTTTATTTCCACAGTTAATGGCCTTGAAGCCAAACAGCAGCCAGGATTTCACTTGAATGTGCTTGGGTTTTCTGGAGAAGGAGATGTTTTGGTACAGCTGGTTTAGAACTGTGTTTCTAGGAGTAATTGCTTCTGGATCTGAAATAGTTGTACTATGAACGTCATTTGTACCTTTCGGGGGGAAAGCATCAGAAATATCAAATGGGAGCAAGACAATGATTTCTTGATGCTCGGAAGCCTCAGTCCCTGTCTTATCTAAAGACTCAGTTCCGAGGACTCTGCGGCTTTCTGGGGCACTTGTTCCTGGTCCCCGCGCCTGCCTCGCAGAGGCCCCTCTCATGGCCTGGGCACGTTTTCTCTCCGGGTGCTGGTTCTTTACTTCGAAAAGTGCACACACCCGCCTGTTCCCGGGTGACACTGCCTTTAGTTGCCTCCCGTGGATTGGTTATGCTTGTCCTTCCGTTGGGTCGTGTACCTCCCTCCCTGCTCTGCCCGTCTTACTGTTGATGTTTCCTGGAGAGGCTGAGGCACCCAGGCTGTGAGAGCTGACATTTCTGTTGATGAGCAGTAGCCTTGGGTTGTTTCAGAGGGAGCAGGTGAGGGGGAAGGTGAGTGTTGGGCGATCGAGTGGACAGAAAGCTCTGAATGGGAGCTAAACTGCCTGCGAGGCAAGGGTGGTTTCTAGGGAGAGTCGACAGCTCTCTTTAGATCTGCGAAGAGATCCGTGACTCCTAAAGGATTTACTCACTGGATCAGAGGTTCGGTGGATTGACACACTCTTTTTTTTTCCATTTCAAAGGCAGATCAGGGCGGTGCCGAGAAAAATTTCCTTACTAGATGACATTTCATCGCAATGTCCGATCGTTTGGGGCAAATAACCAAGGGCAAGGATGGGAAAAGCAAGTATTCGACGCTCAGCCTGTTTGATAAGTATAAAGGAAAATCAGTAGACGCAATCAGATCCTCAGGTAAGAGCCGGGGTCGGGGCCAGGCCCTCCCGCTTTCCCTTGAGTGAGAACCTCCTGGTCCAGGACCGTGGCAGCCCAGAGTCCTCCTGTGGGCAGGGAGGGGTCACCCGGTAGTTCTGGGCAGCAGCCTCCCCCGCTCCTGTGTGAGGTCTGATTTCATACCCTGACTGCTGTGGGGGGCTGCTCCCCCTCTATCTTATCTTACTGAAACCAGGGGTATTTTTAGCCTGGTGGTTAGAATGGAGCTTAATTTGCATTAGACTTACCCGGTTTAGAGTTCCTGGTTCCAGGACTCTGGAATGTGGTGGGAAAAATTCCTGCTGATGCTATCCCTCCCCCAGGAGGGTTTTATGAATGCCCAGGCTTGGCGGGGGCTAGGCAGGGCTTGGTCCTTTCAGTCCCACTGTAACGAGGCCAGAGCATCTCCTCTTGCAGAGAGGTGCCTGCCGTGTGGGCCTGAGGTTTCTGGGCCTCAGCTCCTAGCCTTCTGCCCGCTGTGGAAATGGAAGCTTCCGTGTCTTCCAAGGCCTTGGCGAAGGGCTTGTCACATGACTAACGTGACCACCGGGCAGCGCTGTTGTTTCCCTGGCGGGGCCACCCCTCGTGTGTGTCCTGTTGCCTTTGTCACGATCACTTGGGTTTTGAAAGAGCAGCTGAATGACCTGGCCTCTGGCCTGTCCCCTGCCCGTGCGCTATCTGCTTCCTTCCCTGTCTCCCTGCAGTAATTCCTAGACATGGCTTACAGAGTCTCGGGAAAGTTGCCACAGCCCGGCGCATGCCACCGCCCGCAAACCTACCGAGCTTGAAGTCTGAAAACAAAGGAAACGACCCCAACATCGTTATCGTACCCAAGGACGGGACGGGATGGGCAAACAAGCAGGACCAGCAAGACCCAAAGAGGTGAGAGCAGAGGGCAGGCGGCTCCGGCACCTCCCTGCCCGCACGGGCGGCGCTGGGGACCTGTGCCTGCATTCTCCTCCCTGCCTGCCGTCTTCCTGCCTCTCGGAGCCAGTGCAGCAGCGTTTCTGTGGGCCGCCTGGTCCCCGTGACCAGCCCCCGGTGCCTCATTAGAAAAGGCCCATCAGCCGCCGGCGCACATGCGGCCACTCGGAGCCAGTTCCCGACGAGCCTCTGTGGGCAGAGCTGGCGCCTGCACGCTCCGTTCTGGGGTCCCTGTGTGCGGGCGGGCCAGCAGCCGGCCTCCCGCAGAGGAGACCGCTGCGGGGCCCGAGGCAGAGCAGCCCGCAGCCTCGTGACCCGGGTCTGGCATGGAAGTCGTTAGGGAAGCAGCACCGCTGCGTGCGGGGCGCCTGAGCCCCCAGCTGTGTCCTGACGGGGCTCTGGCCAGTGGTAGGGGCGTCCAGGGAAGAGGACGGGGGACTTGTGCTGGGAGGACGGAGGGGACAGAAACCTCTGGCCGAGGTGAGCCTGTGTGGGATGAACGCTCCCCGGTCCCGGCCGGTGCACCTCTTGCCCTGCATCTCACGGTCCGGCTGCTGGTGCTCGGGATCCGGAACAGCTGCTGACGGGCGTCCTTCCCTCTCCCTGGAAACGGCCACACCAGCTTTTGTGAAACTTCTGTGTAGTTGCTCCGGGCAGGGTGGAGAGAGCGAGCAAATAATCAGTCAGATCTTAAAGTAGCAGTAACCACAGTAGCGTCCTAAACGCTATTTAACATTTTTCTGACAGTTTGCTTGGGCATCATGCTGGCTGATGGTTTAGTGTGAATTTGGACCGGACAGGTGTGCGGGATGCCCAGCCAAGCGGCCCGTTAGCTTTATGGCACCGGGAGAATCATTTGACTTCTGAGCTTCATTGTCCTGTGAAGTAAGAACATACCTGGCTCCAGGGGCAGTTACAAGAGAGATGAGAGAACACAGCCAGGGGCTTAGCACAGAGCCTGGCCCGGAGGAAGCGCGTGGCAGATGCCCGCCTCTGTCGTCATTGTAATCAGATGGCGGACACGACAAACTCTAGAGAAATGGGTATGACACCTTTCAACACAGGCCTTGAAATGCCCGTGCTACGGAAAATTCTAGAGAGAGGACAGCACCGCTCCCTCCCTGTGCCTGTTCTCACGCAGCGCTGGCCAGAGCGTTGCAGCTTTCATGAGGCCGTGGTGCTGCATGTCTGCTGGGAGGGTGGTGAGTGTGGAGACGGGAGGCAGCAGACCCACCCGGCCCTGGGTCTCTGCTGCTGCTGGGCCTGCCCTCCTTGGGCGTATTGAGGGGTGGGAGGGGGAGCAAGTGCTTAGCGGGGAGCACTGAGGCAGCACTGCCTGGACGCTCCTGCTTTGGGTAGAAGGTCATGTGAGAGGATCGGCGGCCTTCATGTCGGAATGGTCACGATGGGGATGAGTTACTTGGGTGAAGTGAACCTGGGGAGAGTGTGTGTCGTGTAGGATTGGACTTGAGCTTCCAGCGGGAGCGCCAGCGGTGGGTGGACTCTGGCGAGTGGATGGCTGACCTCCTCGCATCTTGCCCGGCAGAAGCTTGAATAGAAGAGTGACTGGAAGGCTGCTGAGTCAGCAGAAATCTCCTCAGGGCCCTTTCTCGTTCTCTTCTCAAGAGATGACCTGTGGGGCCCTGGCCAGTTTGACTCAGTGGTTAGAGTGTTGACCTGTAGACAGAAGGGTCACGGGTTCAATTCCCAGGTCAGGGCCAGTGGGGAGGCAACCAGTCAATGGGTCTCTGACATTGATATTTCTCTCCCTCCCCCCTCCCCCCTCCCCCTCCCCCCCTCCCCTTCTCCCCCTCTCCCCCTCTCCCTCTCTCCCCTAGCCCCCTCTCTCCCCCCTCTCCCCCTCTCTCCCCCCCCCTCCCCCTCTCCCCCTTCTCTCTCCATTCCACTCTAAGAATCAATGGGAAAATATCCTCCGGTGAGGATTAAAAAGTAAAGATGACCTATGGGGTGTACACTGATGCAGCCTCTCTTTGGAGGGCAGTTTGGCAATACCTTTTAAACTTCAAAACATCTTTGATGCAGCAATTCCATTCCTAAGAACTTACACTACTGAATTATGCAAAGGTGTACAAAGATATTTATACAAAAATGCTCACTGCGGTTGTATCTTTAATAGAAAAAAACGGAGATTGGTAAATTATGGTCATCCAATTGTACTGTCATTAAAAGAAAGAGGTAGGTCCCTATGTATTGTCATGAAAAGATGTTAAATTAAGTAAAATAGTTACAGAATTGTATGTGTGGCATACTCTGTTATGTTGAGAAAAATCTGCTTCGAGTTTCTCTCTGGAGGATGAGATCATGAGAAATTTGTTACGTGTATTGATAAGTTTAGTTTTGCTATGAGCAAATATATTTTACAAGCCAAGAGATGGTAACCGTTGTTTTTTAATCTGCTGTTTCAAAGCAGGCAGCCCCCTGAGGAGCTGTGAGGCTTGGTCAGGAGGAAGGGACTCAGAGCCCCCTCCCTATAGTGACTGAGTTTCCCCATTGGCAGGTCCTCCATGACTTCACTGTTCACATGAGCTCTCAGTGTTTGCAGACAGAGGCCTGTTCTGCCCTGTTGATGCCAGCGAGTAGACGGCAGACGGGGTATTTGCCAGCATAAGCGTCTCCTGGGGAAGTACTCCTATTGGCCAGAGGGCTCTGGCTCCCAGTGAGCCGCTGATGAGCAGCTGTGGCTTTTGGAAATGCAGAGGGACCTTGTCGTGGCCTGTGCCGCATCTAATCCTCCCTGTGTGTCCTGCCTCTGTCTAGTTCCAGTGCGACGGCCGCTCAGCCGCCGGAGTCGCAGCCGCAGCCGGGTTTGCAGAAATCTGTCTCCAATTTACAGAAACCGACTCAGCCAGTCAGTCAGGAGGTAGGTGCTGGAGCCCCCGTCCTGATGTCCAGATGTCGGAGCCACCTAACGCCCGCCCCCAAGAAGGGTGGCTTTGCTTGACTTGCTTATACCAACGGCAAACTGATGGAGAAGACCCCACACAGGGCTGAATACAGACACCTCCTTTGAGTCTGTTGACTCCTGTGAAGGTGAAGTCACTCAGGTAGATACAGAGGTCAGGGCCCCCAGCTGTGCCATAAGCAGACAGGAAGTGGTCGGCCATAGGAAGGGGAGTCTGGAACACAACATCTAGAAGCTCCTTTCCTGTTGGATGTCTTCTCAGTGTCTTCAATGTGCACCCTGACTGAGAGAGGACAGCAGGGACAGCAGGCCCCAAATTGATTTGCCCTCGGAAACCTTTTTAACGAGGTCTCTAGGGACTAGTCGCGTCTCAGAGCCTCCTTGGGAAATGCCCAGCTGCAGTCGTCGCTTATTGTTGATGCATTAAAATGTTTTTCTGAAGAGAAAGGCGTGACCGAGCTGAGCAAGAGCTCACGGTACACTGAGTCCATTGGAGGCTGGGTGGGTCCCAGAGACTGGCAGGGCTCATGCTTAGCTGGTGGCTAGAAACCGAGATGACAGTCTTGAGTATTTTAGGTCAAAAGAAACCTAGACAAGACCCCTGGCACTCACCAGACTCTTGAAAACAACTCTAACCACCGAACTTCAGTCTCGCCGTGCTGCCTGGCAGCAGGAGGCCTGAGACGCCAGCCCCCGGCTGTGGGGACGTTTATAGCTTTGCCAGAAGGAAACCCCACCCGACAACACCAAACCGTACTTTTGAAATTAAAGAGAAAAATCATATTCGTGTGAGGCTCCATATTCATTGGCCTAAATCCACGGGGTCTGCCGAGTATGTAGAGTTGAATTCACGTGTTTCTCAGAATCTGAAACAGTGAGACTGGGAGCCAGTTGGTCAGCCCCGGCTGCACAGCACACTTGCCTTGGGAGCTGGTTGACAGAAAACATGTGCCTGGACCTCACCCCTGGAGAGACTGGGGAGGGGCCGGGGCATCTGTTGAAAGAAACTGTGTTGGGGACCGTCTCGGAGCCCGGCCTGGAGTAGCGCAGGCCCTGCCCAGTGCTCAGTCAGCTCCTCTCGGCCACTGCCTGGCTTTCTCTCATATGAAGAGGAGGTGAGAGGAGACTCCGTTTCTAAAACCTCACCCCAGAGCTTGTACGGTTCTCTTGGGATGAAGTTCACCGGCAATAATAGCAACCCCTCCTTGGCCCTGTAGGTGCCTCGTCCAGTTTAGTGCCTTTGGCTGCATATAGACACCAAATGGGAGGCTGTGGGTTGGCCCTGGTGCCCCTCTGCTTCCTGCTGGCTCTGGAGGTGCAGCCCTCCTGGGGGGGCCGTCCACCCCAGCTGCATGGTCCCCTTATGTGGTCCTTTGGGCAAGACCTGGGGGCATTCCAGCCACCATGGCAAGCATTCAGGGCAACTCCCTGTAAGTAAATGGCTTGTTAGACCCAGTCCGCTCTGCACTAAGGGTAAGAGACAGCCACTGCTGTGAGTGAGTGCGGGCGGGGGTGGCTGGAGAGGAGGGGTCATGGGAAAGGGTAGCTATTTAATTTGGTACCTAATCCAGGAAGTGGTGAGGTTTTGCTCATTGAGCTCTGTGGTAGCTTTGCCTTCATTTGGAAGGGGGTCTGGTCAGCTGAATGCTGTTGGAAAAGGCAGAGCTCCTGTGGCTGATCCCACTCGCACGTGGCCGTGGACTTGTGGGCCTTGTGGTGGAACCTGGCGGCGGTCGTGAACGCCTTCCCACGTGCTTGGGGAATGGTCAGCAGGCCGATGGGGCTGGCTCTTCTAATTCTCTTCCTTTTTCAGAACACAAATACAGTGCCAGGTGGACCAAAGTCATGGGCACAGCTGAATGGAAAGCCAGCAGGACACGAAGGTGGTAAGTGGGAAGAGGTGGGCAGGACGGGGGCACGCCTTCTCGGGACCATTCCGGTTGGGTCTGGGTTGTCTTGGCCTAAAGCTTTGAGAGTCACTGCTCTGGGGGCCTGGCCTTGGCCCCAGGGAGGAAGCGCTGATTCTGAAGGCATGTCGGTCAGCTTCTGGGACCCTCGGGGAGCCCTAGTGCGCTCTGCCAGCCCTGACGCCGATGCGGCGCCGCACTCCTGGCTGCGTGGCCGGCGTGCTTGGAGTTGCTGAGGCGGAGAATCCTTGGTGCTGACCTCCCTGGCTCCATAGTCTTTCCGGTTTTCTCGACAGGTTTAAGGGGCTCAAGCCGACTCTTATCCTTCTCTCCCGAGGAATTTCCGACGCTGAAAGCAGCTGGCGGGCAGGACAAGGCTGGCAAAGAAAAGGGCGCCTTAGATCTGTCGTATGGGCCAGGACCAAGCCTCCGCCCTCAGAGTGAGTGAGCTGCAGCCCGTCGGGCACACGGGGCACAGCATCTCCCTTGCCTTCCTGCCCTCAGACAGGAGTGTGCGGGGCCTCAAACAGCCGGGCTCCTGAGGCCGGGCTCCCTGCCTGGAAAGCGTGGCTGTTGCCCTTTGCCTGACCTCTGCACCCACTGGACTTGGACCCTAGGCTGGTCAGGAGGTCACCCCTTCTTTCTTGTTGTTGGGTGGGCCAGGCCTGCCTGCCTTCCTGGCTGTTATCAGAAAGTTGTGCTGTGCTAGGTGGTCATGGCAAGGATGGGCAGACCAAGGGCCAGCTGCCTTGGTCCCTGATTCAGGAGCGGTTTTCTAGACCAGAGCTTCCCAAACCGCGAATGCCATCAGGGTCACTTGGGGAGTGTGTTACACGGTGTGACTCCCAGCCTCCCACCCCCGCCAACTTAGAAGTCCTGTTTTTAACATGTGCCCTTGCGTGGCCCGCTCAGCGCTGACTCCGCGGCCCATCTCTGGGGTCTGGTCCAGGAGGGGCAGGAGTGTGGAGTGAAACTTGCTGGTGAGGTTTTTAGGGGCTGTGGGTGGCTTAAAGTGTTATTTAGGAATGAGATTTTCTACCTGTTCTAACCAGAGGTTCTGAAATGGCTCTTGTTTTTTTGGAGGTGCGTTTGGGGGTGTGTGGAAATATGCGGGACTGGTGTTTGCTTGTCGTGATTAACCCCCAAGAGCGGAGGTCCTGTAGAGGAAATGATCACAGTGCAGCTCCTTCAGCGCCCGCCTTCCGGTGGCCTGTGCGGAGTCGTTTCGTCTACTCCAAAGACACCCTGCAGTTCCTTCGGCCAGGAACGGGAACTTTCTGGGTCTAGTTAGGATGCGTGGCTTATAGGACCATAAACAGTTAGAACTCAGAGGAGCTTCTGGGGTGGGTTCCATCTCCTCTTCTGAGAAGAGGAAGAAGCAGATGGCCAAGGGGTGACCCAGACAGGGCTTACCCGAGCCCACATGCGGGGCTTGGAGGCTAGAGCTGAACCCTGTGTTGTGGCTCCGCCCTCAGTCTTACTCTTAGGGTCCCACACGCAGGGAGCTTTCATGTTTTAACTCATCACCCAAGTGAACTGAAGCCAGCAGGCATTTGGCTCCTGCAGCTTCTCCTGGGCCTGTGATTCCAGCAGATCCTGCTGCGTTTGGCAGTTGGAAGCATCATGGAGAAAGATAGCTTGGTCGGCAGGCTCCCCCACCCCGGGCCCTGCAGGAGGCCCCCCTCCCCCGGCTGGTGCAGGGTAGGTGGGGCCAAGGCCTGTGGCAGGTCCAGACCCTTCCAGCAAGAGGGTCTGGTCTACACCCCCCCACTCCGGGCAAGGGCTGCTCTGCTTCGTCTTGTGAACGGGGCGATCTCCTTGATTAGAGGGGCCACCGCTAAACGAAGCCGGAAACATGTCAGAACTCACTCTGGTTTCAGGTCAAGTCCAGGGCTGCGGGCAGTGCCCGTCCTCCGGGACTGGGGCGTCTGTGGGAGGAGCCGTGGCTGTTTCCATGGGCTGCCTGGTGCCTCTGCGGCCGGCGCCGTGGTGATGGGCTCCTGTCGGTCGGGGAAGATGCGCACACACTTGCCTCCTCTCTGGGGACCTCGCTTTGTCTCACAGTCAGGCTCCCTCAGCAGGTTCACACGCCTTGGCCAGTGTAGTCTGCCCCCACCTCCCTGACACACTTGACCGGGACCCTACTCTTACTTTTTGTTTTTTGGGGGGCTTTTTTGGTGAATGAGGGGGTCCCTTGACCTTCAGAACCTCATACAGTCCCTCCTCCCCCCTTCCTCTTTCCTCTCCCTTTGCCCCTTTCAATTTCCAGATGTGACAAGCTGGAGGGAGGGCGGTGGGCGAAACATAATTTCTGCCACGTCTCTGAGCGCCTCCCCCACTGAGCTGGGCAGCAGGAACTCGAGCGCGGGAGACGGAGCCCCCTCCTCGGCAGGCGCCAGCGATGCTAAGGACCCCTCTCTCCGCCCGGCTCAGCCTGTTCGCAAAGGGGCTTCGCAGTTCCTGGGGAACGCATACCACCCACCTACATACCATGACATGCTTCCTGCCTTTGTAAGTCTTCAGGGGCGTTTCCCACAGTCAGCCCGTCCGCGTCCAGTAGGTCTGCTTTCCGGGGGGCGTGTGCACCTCCGGTGCCCCCCTGGCTGCACGCCTCGCCCCGTCCCTGCCTTGGAGGTTCCGTTCGTGTCCCTTGGAGGTTCCGTTCGTGTCCACTCTCTCTCCTCCCCAGTCCCCAGGGCCCCGGCTTCTTTCCCTGCTCATGTGCTCATCTCAGCCTTGGCTCTTGGAACAAGGAGAGGCAGGTTCCCCCCAAGGCACAGGCCCAGGTGTACTAGCAGCAGGAAGGAAATGGGGGAGACGGTGGCAGGTTAAATGGGAAACCCCAAGAGTTCCTGCTTCTTTTTCCCACTGTTCATTTTCCAAAACAAATTCTAATGCAAGTGGAATGGAGAATTGGGGTCATCACCAGAAAACCCTGTTCATTGATGTCACGTTTCAGATGTGTTCGCCACAGTCATCCGAGAACCAGGGTACAGCGGAACGAGCGTCTTTCCCGCCTCCGCCGCTCCGCCTGGAGCCCCGAGTTCCTTTCCGACAGTTCCAGATGAACGACCAGGACGGGTAAGGCCTGCTGCGGGCGCGCAGGGGGAGCTGCCCACGGGGTGACCTTGGACACCAGGCGGCTGACGGACGGCAGTGCTTGGTCTTCTAAAGACCGTAGTGCCTGGAAACCAGCTCGCAACCCGGGTGTGCGGACGCAGGCCGGGCCGGGCGGGAGGTGGGGGTATGACCTGAGTTCCTGGCACAGTGGAGGTTTTGGCACGTGCCCTGGCCCCTGGGCGTTCGCGCCCAGCAGTGCGGCTGCAGGAGGCGGGGCTTCTGGCCGGTGCCTTTGCTCCGTTGTGTTCCTTTCCAAAGGGGGTGGCTTCCACATCAAACGCACACACAGACCTTGCAGTTCAGGGCTTAACTTTTTAAAAGCGTTTGGTTTTGCTTCCATATGTGTAGTTGACATAAGTCCAGTGTCTTTAACTTTTCTCTCATCAGAAAAGACAGCCGGCTGGGCATGCCCCGCCCGCCCCGCCCGCTCAGGCAGCTGGTGGAGCGGGCGCCGCGGCCCACCATCATCAATGCCGAGAACCTCAAGGGCCTGGATGACCTGGACACCGATGCCGACGATGGCTGGGCAGGTGGGTTGTGTTTCTGAGTGCGCTTTCCCCGGGGGTTAGAGGCCGGCGGACACCCGTCCCTGCCCAGCCAGGGTGAGCGCCCTCGCGTGGTTTCCTGGGTGCGGGGACTGAGCACGGGGGCGGGGAGCAGCTTCCGTGCCGCAGAGGTCCTGGCTGGCACTCACAGGTGGCTTCCCGGCCCATCCGTGTCTTCTTTTGGTCTTTGGTCTTGATCTTAGAGCTGTGGTAGATTTTGCTGTTAACTTTTTTTAAAGACTTTTTTTATAATGGAAAAGTTAAACCAAGAAAAATTGTGTAATGACCCCCCAGCTCCCCTCACCAGCCTCGGCAGGTTCCACCATTCTGCCTTTCTTGTGTCTTTCCTTTCGCCCACTCTCCACCCCCAGCCTGATGATATGCCTTTACAATCCTTTGTGTTTGTTTTCACGTAAATTTTAATTACATTGAAAGACACACAGCTTAATTGTACACTTTTGACAAAGGGATACACCTGTGAACCTTTTCCTCCTCCCCCCAGTCCCTTCCTGCCGGCCTGCCACTCTTGTGGCGCCTCACCTGGAGCAGTTTTGCCCCTTGTATGATTACAGGCAAATGGGTCACACAGCTTTTCCTCTGTGTCATGTTTTTGAGATTCATCAATGTTGTTATATATGTCAATTGTTGCTTTTAATTACTGGGGCATATTTTATTGTATCAATATACCTTAATTTACTGATCCACTTAAAAGCTCCATCGTGTATAATCTTCTATAATAATAAAAGCGTAATATGCTAATTAGACCGGACGTCCTTCAGGACGACCTTCCAGACAAAAGCTGGTGCCGGCAGCCGGGGGAAGGAAGGCCTACTCTTGCACGAATTTCGTGCGCCGGGCCTCTAATATTTTCATGTCTCTTGAGTGCACAGCGGGGAGTGGAAGTATTGGGTCAAAGGGTAGGTGTGTGATGAGGTGCACAAGGACCACAGACCTTTGCCACGCGGCCGAGCCATTGCACATTCCCAGCAGCGACCACACCTTCCTGTCAGTCTTTGTGCTTTTAGCCATTCTGGTGGGTGTGTATTGGCATCTCATTGTGCTTTTCATTTGCGTTTTGCGGGTGACTAATGCCAGTGAACACATATCTTCATGTGCTATTTGAGGGGTGTATCTTTCCCTGCCTTTCTGAGGGGTCTGATACAAGTCCTTTGCAGCTTCACAAATATTTTTCACCATAGTTTGCCTTGTCTCTTCTTTTTTTTAATCCTCATCTGAGGGTATGTTTTTTCATTGAGAGAGGAAGGGAGAGTGAGAGTTAGAGAAACATTGATTTGAGAGAGAAACATTGATCGGTGCCTCCCATACACGCCCTGACCGGGGATCGAACTCGAAACCTGGGTAATGTGCCCTGACCAGGAATAGAACTCGCAACCCTTTGGTGCACCCTACAACGCCCTAACCAGCTGAGCCCCATCAGTCGGGGCATCTATTCATCTTTTTAGCACTGTTTTTTTTTTTTCTTAAATATATTTTATTAATTTTTTACAGAGAGGAAGGGAAAGAGATAGAGAGTTAGAAACATCGATGAGAGAAAAACATCGATCAGCTGCCTCCTGCACATCTCCCACTGGGGATGTGCCCACCACCCAGGTACATGCCCTTGACCGGAATCGAACCTGGGACCTTTCAGTCCGCAGGCCGATGCTCTATCCGCTGAGCCAAACCGGTTTCGGCAGCACTGTTTTGATGAACAGAAGTTTTTAGTTTTGATGAAGTTTATAAATTTGTGGTTTTTTATGGTTATTACTTTTGTATCATATCTAAAAAAATCTTTTGTCTCCCCTTGGTGGTAGAGATATTCCTTTATATGTTATAGTTTTAACTCTTACCGTATGTCACGTTGAATTAATTGATCTGTAAGGTGTAAGATAGGAGCTGAAGTTTATTTTTACCATAAGGATATCCAGTTGCTCCCCACTATTTGTTGGTGAGGCTTCCCTTCCCCTATTGAATGGCTTTGGCACCTTTGCCAAAAATCAATTGACCTTGTAAGTGTGGGTCTATTTCTGGACCTGTTTGTTCCATTGATCCGTTTGTTCATCCTTATGGCAATACCAACCACACTGGATCATTATAGATTAAGTGTTAAATTCGGGTAGTGTAAGTCTAATGAACAAAATCAACTGACAACATTTAAAAAAATTCAGGTAGTATAAGTTTTCAAGCTTTGTGTTTTGTTTTGCTTTTCAGTCCTCACCTGAGAACGTGTTTTTATTGACTTTGAGAGAGAAACGTCGGTCGGTTGCCTCCCATGCATGCCTTGACCAGGGATTGAAGCCACAGCCCTTCGGTGCTCGGAACAGTGATCTTAACTGAGCCACTCCTCGAGGGCTTGTTGGGTGTTTTGGTTGGGTCACTATTCTGAGTTCTTTTCATTCCCATGTAAATTTAGAATCAGCCTAGCAGTATATACAAAAAGCCTGCAAACGTTTTGGTCAGGATTTTATTGAATTTACTTCTGGATAAATGATGCCTTAATTTTGAATCTTCTGTGCAGGAACCTGGTGAATCTATCAGGTCTGTCCTTTCCCCAGCAGTGGTTTAGAGTTTTCAGGGTCAGGGTCTTGACTATGTATCATCAAGTTTATTCCTGAGTATTTGATGGTCTTTGATACTATTATAAATGGCATTGTTTCTTTAATGTTGTTTTCAAGTGTTTGATGTTATTATGCAGAAATACAAGTTGATTTTGTGTATTGACCTTATACCAGACACTTTGCTGAATGCACTCACTAGTTTTACTAGTTTTTGTTGATTTCTTAGCATTTCTACATAAACCATCATGTTGCCAATAAATAGGGGCAGCTTTATGTCTTCCTTTTCAGACTTGATGCCTTTTTTTTTTCTTGCTTTATTGCACTGTGGTACTTCCAGCCCAATGTTGTATTCAAGTTCTCTGTTTCTGATCTTAGGGATAAAATGTTTAGTGCAGCGGTTCTCAACCTGTGGGTCGCGACCCCTTTGGCGGTCAAACGACCCTTTCACAGGGGTCGTCTAAGACCATCGGAAAACACACATTGAATATATAATTACATATTGTTTTTGTGATTAATCACTATTCTTTAATTATGTTCAATCTGTAACAATGAAAATACATCCTGCATATCAGATATTTACATTACGATTCATAACAGTAGCAAAATTAGTTATGAAGTAGCAACGAAAATAATTTTATGGTTGGGGGTCACCACAACATGAGGAACTGTATTAAAGGGTCGCGGCATTAGGAAGGTTGAGAACCACTGGTTTAGTGTCTCACCATTAAATATGATGTTAGCTATAGCTTGTTGGAGATATTCTTGACCAGATTGAGGTTGTTCTCTTCTAGTTTGCTGTTTTGATTTTAAATCATGAATGGATATGTATTGAATTTTGTTAAATGCTTTTTCTGTCCTGGTGATCATATGATTTGTCTCCGTTATTGTGGTAATCTTGTGGATTGCATTTATTTATTTATTCATTCATTTATTTTCTTTCATAATTGTGATTTTATTGTTTGTTTTGATAAAGTACACAGACATTTCAATTTGTATACAATTCTTTTTTTTTTAATAAATATATTTTTATTGATTTCAGAGAGGAAGAGAGAGAGAAAGAGAGGGAGAAATAGAAGCATCGATGATGAGAGAGAATCATTGATGGGCTGCCTCCTGCACTCCTGACACTGGGAATTGAGCCTGCAACCCAAGCATGTGTCCTGACTGGGAATTGAACCGGGACCTGCTGGTTCGTAGGTCACCGCTCAACCCCTGAGCCACGCTAGCTGGCTGTATATAATTCTTAACATACGTACCCAAAATGTAAAGTCACGTAGTTGTGATTTTTTTTTCTAAATAGTTATTCCAGTGACTTTCTAGCTTAAAATTTGGAGGTTAATTTTCTTTAATAGAGTATCAAGTACCAATATCTTTAAATGTTGATATACTGTTACATCAAAGCTCCACTAATTCACAATTAATATCATATATGATGTAATCAAATTTTCAGTCTTTCACAGCACATTAACAATGTTACTAGGAAAACTAGACTACCACACCAAAGATGTTTCTCTCATATATTTCTCTCCCTTTCTCTCTGAACATCAATAAAGGGGGAAAAAAATTTAAGAATCCTAAGATTCTGTATACATATATATGTATATAATAGTGTGTGTGTGTGTATATATAAATGGTGGGGGGTGTGGGTGGGACACACACACACACACACACACACACACACATACTAGAAGCCTGATGCACAAAATTTGTGCAAGAGTAGGACTTCCTTCCCCCGGCTGCCAGCACCAGCTTCTCTCTGGCACCCGGGACCCGGGTTTCCCTTGCAGCCCCGGCTTCTTCTGGAAGGACGTCCGGTCTAATTAGCATATTATGCTTTTATTATTATAATTGCCCCGATTTAGGAGCTGTTGTCTGGGGGGAGGGTCAGTCTGACCAGGCTGCCTTACTGTTCCCAGAAGCCAGAGCTCCTTCCGTTTAGCTGCAGTTTGTTTGGTGGTGGCAGCCACGTGGTCCGCCTCACTCCTCCGTGGGTTGGCATGATTCCGGACTGAGGTGGCGCTCTTGGCCGCTGAAATTCTCATCTTTTCTCATTCTCCTGGCCCACGTCCTGTTGCAGGCCTCCATGAGGAAGTGGACTATTCTGAGAAGTTGAAGTTCAGTGATGATGAAGAGGAGGAGGACGTGGTGAAGGATGGCAGGCCACAGTGGTAAGGCCCTCCCCCTGCTGGGGCACGCTCCAGTGCAACCTTACGCTTGGCGGCACTGCCGTGTGCTGGTCCTGTGCCAAGTGCGTTTCCTAGTGTCCAGCAACCTCCCAGGGCAGATACTGTTTCATTTTGCAGATGAGAGGGCTAAGCTTTGGGGCACCCGTTCGAGAACTGGGCCAGGATTTGCATCCGGGCGTGGCAGGCTGGGTGCTAGTGATTGTAACCGCTGCCCCAGTACTTCCCTGAGGGTGAGGTGGAGACCATGTGTTCTGCAGAGTGATTATGGCTGTCATGCCCCAGAAGCCTTCTGTGGCCAAGCGAGTTTGGGAAACCGCCTGGGTTCAGCTTTCTCCTTTCCTCCAGGGTCGCCTGCCGCCTGGGGTGTGCAGGCAAAAGCATGCTGGGAGCCTTCAGGGAGGTGGGAGAAGCTTACACAGGGTAGACCAGGCTTCCTAAACTTCTAGGACCAATTTAATCTTTTCTCTCTTTTTCTGAATCATTTTATTGGACAAATTTTACTCATAATGCCCTTTGGAAAATACTTAATTGTACTCTAGCCCCTCTTGTTTTTATCATAATATCAGTAGTATTGGCTAGTACTTTTTTTATTTAACACTAGAGGCCCGATGCACGAAATCCGTGCAAGGGGCTTGGCCCTCACAGCCGTGGCGGCTTGCCTCGGCCCTCACAGCCCCAGCTTTGTCCGGAAGATGGTCCAGAAGGTTGTTTGGCTGTGCGGTCTAATTAGCATATTATGCTTTTATTATTATAGACATTTTTATTGATTTCAGAGAGGATGGGAGAGGGAGAGAAAGGTAGAAACATCAATGATGAGAGAGAATCATCGATGAGCTGCCTCCTGCACGCCCCCCACTGGAGATCGAGCCCACAACCTGTGAATTGAACCGTGACTTCCTGGTTCATAGGTTGACGTTCAGCCACTGAGCCACGCTGGCCGGGCTTGGCTAGTACCTTTGTTTATTTATTTATTTTTGCATTTTACATATTTTAAAAAGCCATATGAATAATGCGTTTTGTAAAATACAAAAAATGTTTAATTAAAAATAAGGCAGAAATCCTTTCATCCTAAATCCAGAAATAATCATCAACATTTTTAAGTGTATTTTGTATTGTTGACACTATTACAGATGTCCCCTATTTCCCCCCACTACCTCCCTCCACCCAGTCCCCGCCCCCACCCAGGCTTCATCACACTATGGCTAGCACTGTAGTACTTGTGAAAGAGCGCCTGCGGTTGCTTTAATTTGCCTTTTCTTTTCTTTTCTTTTTTTTTTTTTTTGTACCAGCACATGTGATTTTTTTCCTTCATGTGGCATTTCCTGTTTTCTTTATACACCACCTATTGGACTTACCGTGCTTTCCTCAAAAATGTGATTTTTTATATTGTTTAGATATTAATGTTTTAATGTTTCCCTTCGTTTCATTGTCACTGATTGCGTGTGTGTAGGGTTCCCTCTGCAAGTCTTTCTCTGTTGTTTCGTCTTTCACTTCTAAGCCCCTGGAGTCAGCGCCCCCTCCTGGAGGAAGCTGGTAACACGCTCTGCCGCTCTGATGGCACACAGTTAACTGAGGCTTCTGTCGTCTATTTTCACGCCGCTCGATGCACGTGGGGACTGTCTATGGATCAGTTCTTGGAACACTGAGCTTAGAAGGAAATGTGACCAAGAATTTAAGTAAAAGGCAAAGACATTAAACTTTACAGATTGATTGGAGCAGTAGGACACTGTTCTCTCTTTCAGTTGATATTAATTGAATATTCAACTGAAGGAGTTAGACATGGAGTCAGCTTTGCTACTGGCTATGATTGAGGGCACCTTCTCCCTAAATATGTTTTTATTGACTTCAAGAGGAAGAGAGAGGGAGAGAGAAATAGAAACAATAGTGATGAGAGAGAATCATTGATCAGCTGCCTCCTGCACGCCCCACACTGGGGATGGAGCCCATAACCTGGGCATGTGCCCTGACCGGGAATTGAACCGTGACCTTCTGGTTCATAGGTTGATGCTCAACCACTGAGCCATGCTGGCTGGGCGAAACCTGCTCTTGTTTTGATATTTTCTGAGCTGGCTGGTGATACACAGCCCCCAGAGACTCCTCCAGAGAGCCCAGAGTCCCTCTGACATCTTCGCTTCCCATCCATGATGATTCCTGAACTGCCCTTGACTCCATCCCTTCCTGTTCGTTGTGTTGGGGCCATGGGACTGGCCTCCTTTCTTTTTTTAAAAATATATTTTATTGATTTTTTTACAGTGAAGAAGGGAGAGGGATAGAGAGTTAGAAACATCGATGAGAGAGTAACATCAATCAGCTGCCTCCTGCACACCCCCTACTAGGGATGTGCCTGCAACCAAGGTACATGCCCTTGACCGGAATCGAACCCGGGACACTTCAGTCCGAAGGCCGACGCTCTATCCACTGAGCCAAACCGGTCAGGGCTGGCCTCCTGTCTTTTCTGGACCAGGCAGGGGTCAGCCAGGCGTCCCCTCCTTCCATGTTGTTCTCTTACCCTCACACTGTGCCCCGTTGTCTTCTGAAGACACGGCCTCCTCTGGTGCATCAGAAACCTGGCTGTGCTCTCTCCCCCTCACAGGGAAGTCAGTAGTCGCCAGCAGTGTTGCCCTCCTGTGACCTCCTAACCTCCCTTACCTGCCTCAGCTTCCCCCTCTCACGCACACGTGTGCACCGACACGTGCACACACAGAGTAGCCAGACCTGAGCCTGCTGTTCTCTGGGCTCCTGTTAGGTGACTGGGCACTTCTTCCCGTACAGGAGGCTCAGAACAGGTCCTTACGCTTTGCCCCAGGCCTGTGTCTAGCTCCGCCCTGAGCATGTGCAGGTGCGCAGGCACAGCTCGCTTCCCCCTTCTCTTCCCGCCTCCCGCAGGCCTGTCCGCCGGTCCCTACTGTGTGCTCTCCTTCCTCCTCGCGCTCCTCACTGTGGCACCTGCAGCGAGCCTCTTTGCGGAGGAGCACTGTGAGCACCTTCAGTGCAAAGCACAGGGCGGGGTCTGTAGTCAAAGAAGCACCTTCTTCTGGGTTCGGCTCCAAATCTGTCAGCTCCTCCCTGGGCGAGCAGCTGCCCACCTCTCGGAGAATCTTGTTTCAACTCTTTAAAAGGGGGAGGGGCCCCCCCCCCCCCCCCCCCCCCCAGATAAAGTAATGGGTGTGGAACAGCCGAGCTGGAGCTTTGAGCTTTGTGTGAGAGAGTGAATGGTAAATGTTGGTGCTGAATGTTGGTGTTCTGGGATGTCTGTCACCGTAAGGGGGTGGGGAGTGGGTCTGCTCTGATGAAGGAGATGGTGTGTAGACAGCTGACTAAGGACCGCTGGCTCGAAGGCCAGACCATGGTGGCCGACTGGGAAACTAACCGCTTGCGGTTGTCCTAGGAACAGCTGGGACCCGAGGAGGCAGCGGGGGCTGTCAATGAGCTCTGCAGACAGTGCTGATGCCAAGCGTGCCCAAGAGGAAGGAAAGGACTGGGGCGAGACAGTGGGCATGGCTCGTGTCCTCAAGAAGGTGCCAGAACCTCAGCCACCTCCCAGGAAGCTTCACAGCTGGGCCTCAGGCCCTGACTACCAGGTACTGTGGGGTCTGTGCCTGTGACTAGCTGGGGGGCTCTCTCTCCTTTCTCTTTCTCTCTCTCCCTCCTTTCTCCCCCCCCCCCCACACTTTCTTTCTCTCTCTTTCTTCACATTCATTTGACCAGAAGTCCAAGAAGAAGACCAATAGTCCTCTAGTTGGATGCCCTCTGCATTTGTACTTTGCTGAGTTGCGTGTTTGGGTGTCTGAAAGTCCTAGGAGAATATCTCTCTTTCTTTTTTAATTAAAAAAAATTTCTTTTGAAACCGGCACGAACTTACTACCATTCACTCTCTCACACAAAGCTCCAGCTAGGCTGTGAGCTTACAGAAAAGTTGGAAGTACACACAAAGGAAACTTTTTCTGAGCCATAGAGGGGAGTTGCCGGCCTGACGAGCGTGTGGGCACAGATGCTGTGGTGTGAGCGAGGACTGACGGCACCTGCCAGGGAGGCAGCCACAGCCTCTGCCCTCGCGCTGCCGGTGGTCCTGTTAGTGTCCATGCGCAGGCTCCAGTTCAGTCACCTCCTGCCTCAGTGGTCCTGTCTCTTTCGTCCCCTTCAGTCTGGCACAGCCTTTCCTTAGCTTTCATGACTGAGATGCACCTCAAATTGGGTTGGTCTGGTCCTTCCTTGTGATTAGGTTCAAGGTTTCTTTTTTTGGTTGGAATCTCTCAAAAATGACCCTGACTCTTCTCATTGTAACCTACCAGGTGCAAACTGTGAGTTAGTTAGTTTATTTCACTGAATTATAATCTGTCTTACTCATTTTTTAAAAAAGATTTTTTAATTGACTTTTAGAGAGAAAGAAAGGGGAGGGGGGAGAGAGAAGCATCAATGTGAGAGGGAAACATTGATTGGCTGCCTCCTGCATGTCCCTCTACTGGGGATAGAGCTCATGCAACCTGGGTAACTTTTTGGTACATGGATGATGCTCACGGGTCGGGGTGGGAGCCGTACACTTTTAAGTGTCCTATTGGAATCCGTGCGTGGGTCAGTGGAGCTGCCCGCAGCTTCCCGCCCCGCACACCAGTGAGAACCTCCCCGTGTGAGTTGTCCACGCTGCGTCTTTGGCCTCTGGTTGCTGTCCAGTAACTGGCCCCCAGCGAGAGATTCGGGGTGGATGGCACATCCACAGGCGATGTTTTCAGAGATGCTTTTTTGTTTTTATATAAAGAGTCACCTTGAGCCCTGACCGGTTTGGCTCAGTGGATAGAGCGTCGGCCTGCAGACTGAAGGGTCCCAGGTTTGATTCCGGTCAAGGGCATGTACCTTGGTTGCGGGCACATCCCCAGTGGGGGGTGTGCAGGAGGCACAGCTGATCAATGTTTTTTTTCTCATCGATGTTTCTAACTCTCTATCCCTCTCCCTTCCTCTCTGTAAAAAGTCAATAAAATATATTTTTAAAAAATCACCTTTAAACCGTATATCCGACCATGAACTTCAGTGTCTGGTGGTTCTTTATACCCGAGGTTTACATGTTTTCACGGGGGAAGGAGAGCAGTTTTGTGACTGAGAGATGGTGAAAGTGTGCTTTTCAGCTCCGGTGGATGAGCCACAGAGCCCTGATCTTGGCCCCGGCGAGTGCACACGGACCCGTGTCCCGTTTCTTGGTGTCGGTCACCTTCCAGGGCATCTGCACAATCCCTAGGGCTTCCTGTGCGATCCCGCCTGCAGAGGAGGAGCTGAGGTGCAGAAGGGTCGTCACTGGCCCAAACCTCATTCCAGACACAGTGAAGGGGCAGAGCAGGAGGAGAACCCGGGTCCGCCCAGAGCTGGCCCGGCTCCGAGAGGCTCGAGGCTCCTGGAAAGAGGACTGGCCGCAGCGGGAGCCGCCCCGTCTCCTGGTTTCATCAGAGGCTCTCTCTTGGCAGAAGGCCTCCGTGGGCAGCGTGTTCCGGCAGCAGTCGGTCGAGGACAAAGAGGACAAGCCGCCCCCACGGCAGAAGTTCATCCAGTCGGAGATGTCCGAGGCCGTGGAGCGCGCCCGGAAGCGGCGGGAGGAGGAGGAGCGCCGGACCCGGGAGGAGCGGCTGGCTGCCTGCGCCGCCAAACTCAAACAGCTGGACCAGAAGTGCAGGCAGGCCCAGAAGGCCGGCGAGGCGCAGCGGCCACTGGAGAGGGACGCGCCCCGGTCTCCAGGCCCCGAGAAGGCACCACCGCTGGAGAACGGCCCCGCCGTCCGCAAAGGTAAGCGGGGCTCCATCCCACAAACTGGACACCGGGGCGGCGGCGCTCCTCGTTCAGGTCTGCGTCTCCCGGTTCCCTGGTACCGCCTGTGGCTCACGGCGAGAGGCTGCTGGGAAGCTCCAGCCTGGGTCTGCCTGGATTCACCCCGTTTCCACGCCAGCACTGGCTCCGCACCCAGCCCGTGGGAGCTGGTTCCCGCCCCTGTGAAGTGGGAGGGGAACGGTACGCCCCCCCCTCCATGCGGGGGCCACCCGAGATGATGCGTGCCAAGCGCTTGGCACAGCTTCTGGGTGAGAAAGCACGCGGGCACTTGCTGGTAATGGTGCCATCGCATTGTCACGGTCACGGTTGTCACTACTACTGCTCAGCCAAAGGTGCGACGCTGAGGATCCCACTAAACGCACAGGGTCCTTCTCCTGGACGCGAAGGAAGCCGCCTGCGTGGCACACGCGGTTTTCAGAATGAGTGCTGATAGGCCTGCACTGCACGGCTGGTCAGACGTGTTGAACAGCGCTGTGTGTCGGAGAGCGTCGCTTGTAGCGGGTTTAAAGAATCTGATCAACTATGTTCTTTGTGATTTTTAAAAATCAATGAAAACCAGCTCTTTTTCGGAGACAAGGGCCTGATGCTCGTCTCAGTCCCTGAAAGCCTCTCGGGTGGGGGTCTTCCTGCTGGTCTGATAGCGACCAGCGCCCTCCTGGCCAAGGACTGCGGGGCCGACAGCGCCCTCTGTCCGTTTCCCTGAGTCCTGTGCGGCCGTGCCAGCCTCGGTCTCGCTGAGCTGGCGCCCGGGCTGAGCGCCCAGGAGGGGATGGCTTGGGTGTGAGCGAGGTGCGTTGATTCGGGTCCCGGCGTGGGCCTGAGGGTCCTGTGACTGGGACGCTGTCGCTGTGCTGCACCGCCTGCCTCTGGGTTCCTCCGGTGCCTGAGCCTCTGCAGTCAGATTAAGAAAGCGAGTGTCAGTTCTTCTTCAGAAAAAGCTGGAGAAAGTGCAAAGCTGGGTGGGGGCCAGAAAGAAGGGAATTTCCGAGAATAACGGTGGGCAGTGGTGAGCACCTCCTGCCTGTCGGGTGCTGTGTTATCGCATCTAGTTCCACAGGCCCCGGGGGGAGCCCCAGGGGAGGCCAGCTGCTGTCCTCATGGTGCAGATGGAGGACCAGGCTGCCCACCAGGTCACACAGCTTTTGGACTGTGAGTCTCGCGGGTGGATGATGGGTGTGGCTGCCACGGAGCGTGTGGCTGCTGTGACTTCCCAGGGTCCTTTTTAATGAAACCTCTCATCTGGACCCAAATCCCGCTCCACGGCGAACGCTGTGGCCTCGGGCAGTCACCCGACCTGGGCCCGTCGTCTCCCCCGAAGTGGGGATGGTGTGGGACCACGAGCTCGTGCCAGTGCCCGGGTTCGAGGCTGTGACTGGCATGGTGGCAGTGCCAGCGGGAAAGAGCATTTGCTGCTTCACATTTGGTTGGCCGAGCTGTTGTGAGGCCACTCCAGCCTTTTCTCTTTGGTTTGTTCTCTAGGCTCCCCCGAGTTCTCTGCCCCGGAAGCCCCCAGCACGTTCTCAGAAGAGGCCCCCACAGCTCCGGCGGCTGTGGCTCAGAGCGGCAGCAGTGAGGAGGGGCCCGGGGAGGCTGGGTCCCCTGCGCAGGAGTTCAGCAAGTACCAGAAGTCCCTTCCTCCCAGGTTCCAGCGCCAGCAGCAGCAGCAGCAGCAGCAGCAGGTAAACAGGAAGACATTGAGAAGGTCCTTGTAAACCGGCCTGACTGCTGGGTGATGGTCCCTCCCCTTCGCCGGGCCCCTTCCATTGAAGCAAACAGCAGAACCCCCTCCTGCCAGGTCCCATCCGGCAGGACGGCAGGGGCTGCACCTCAGAGCGCAGGGCCTCGGTGGGTCAGCTCTGACCGCCCTCCGAGCGGTTTCTCTGCGGTAGTTCACTGACCTTGTCCAACACGAGCAAGGAGGAGCTGGTGGGCGAGCCTCGGACCTGGTGGGTTAGCTGGGAGAGGGGTTTGTCATTCAGAGCAGTGCACTGGCCACTCCGTACACCGACAGTGCCCACCCTGGGGCCGTCTCAGGAGTGAGGGCGGCCTGGGAGCTGCGTAGAGCTGCCAGGGGGAGACGTGTGTGGACGCAGGTTTGTAGGTGTTTAACTGAGAGCTGTGTATCCGGTCCTTGTGCGGCTTTCCTATTGGGTGTGGTCTGGACGGGTCATTGTCGACCAGGAAGCAGGGGTGCTTGCCAGTCGGCGTGCAGTGAGGGTGTCCGACAGCTGTAGGCTGACCTCTGGGTGTCGTCATTGCTGGTGTTTCATGAACCTCCAGAGGACGTGCCTTTGCCTGGACGAGATGGTGTGGGGAACGTGGTGATCACGCCCAGGCCCTCACGCCTCTTGTCCCGCGGAGCCACTCACATGCAGCGTGTGTCTTACAGGAGTCAGAGTGGACAGACGCATTATGATGAACACTGCATTTTGGTGGGAAACAGGTGATTCTTGGACATGACTTAGCCCAGCAACTAGGCCTGCAGGAAATTATTACCACTAATAACCAAAACGTTTCAAAACGTGTGTGCCCGGGGGAAACAGCCAAGTCTTGAGCCTTTTCCTGGAATCTCGTTTAGTCACCTTTAAAGCCTTGTCCAGCCCTGGCCGGTGCGGCTCAGTGGGTTGGAGCGTTGGCCTGTGCACCAAAAGGCCCAGACTCGGTTCGGGTTTGATTCCCGGTCGGGGTGTGTACAGGAAGCAGCCAATTGATGTTTCTCTCTCACATTGATTTTTTTTTTAATTTAAATTCTTTATTGTTGAAAGTATTACATATGCCTCCTTTTCCCCCCCTTGACCTCTCCCTGCTCGCTCCTGCCCCCAGCACAGGCCCTCACCCCCTACTGTCTGTGTCCATCAGTTATGCTCATATGTGTGCCTACAAGTCCTTTGGCTGATCTCTCACCCCTCCCCTGCCTGCCTTCCCTCTGAGGTTTGACCGTCTATTCGATGCTTCTGTCTCTGTATCTATTTTTGTTCATCAGTTTGTGTTGTTCATTATATTCCACAAATGTGTCTCACATTAATGTTTAATCTCCCTCTCTCTGCCTCTCTCTCTAAAATCAGTTAAAACCCAAAACCAAACCAACCTCCCCCCAGACCCTGCTTTGCTGGGCTCCCCCAGGAGCCCCCCAGGTCCCGTGCTCTGCACAGGAAGCCACTGCTCGGGTGCGTCTCAGCGTGGCGAGAGGCAGCACTGCGTCGCTCACAGCTGGTGGACAGTTTCTGACTGGGGGGGTGAGAGTAGCTCCAGCCAGACGCAGCAGTAGCAGTCGCTCTCGGTAATTCTGTGGGAGCAGTGATGGGCAAGCCTTCCTAGGCGCAGAGAGGAGTCTGAAAGCGCCAGGGCAGCCTGGAGTCGGCTAGCAGACTGTCTGGCCAGGCTCCCCGGGGACCTGGGGTCTAGACTGAGGAGTGGCTGCGGCTGAAGCTGCCGTAGGGCCGGGAGGGCTCATGTATGGGATGCTGCGTGCCCCTCAGACAGCACCCTGAGCGCCCGTGGAGCCGACCTGGGGATCCAGCCCAGGCCGCCCGCTGGTGGGCGACCTCTTGTTTGCAGACGGAAGGGGTGGCGCAGCTGGGCTCTGCTCCTGGGCGGGCTCTGCACCTGAGTCCTGCCAGCTGCAGCTGGGAGGCAGCCCGAGGTCACGGATGTGGAGCAGGGTCTGCAGTGAGCCCTCTCCAGGCCCTTCGTGTTGAATGTGCTACTGATGCTCTCTGCTCATACACTCTGCAGCGAGTTTTCTAGATGCCGGGTCGTGGTGGGGCAGACCCACCGTGGGCTCCTCTCTTACGATGCAGTGAGCAGCCAGCAGAGGAAAATAATGGCCTATTGTTGGTGCTACAGAGGAAGAATGTCGGTGCTGTGAGAGCAGAGGAGGGGACCTGCTCACTCCCTCAGGCTTCCCCGAGGAATGTGCTTTTAAGCTGAAACCTAAAGAAAGAGTGTGAGGCCCTAGCCGGCTTGGCTCTAGGCTTGGCTCAGTGCATAGAGCGTCGGCCTGCGGACTGAAGGGTCCCAGGTTCGATTCCGGCCAAGGGCACATGCCTGGGTTGCGGGCTCGATCCCCAGTTGGGGGTGTGCAGAAGGCAGCCGGTCAGTGATTCTCTCATCATTGATGTTTCTATCTCTCTCTCCCTCTCCCTTCCTCTCTGAAATCAATAAAGAAATACAGTATTTTTTTAAAAAAAGAGTGTGAGGGAGCCAGGTCTGGGGGTGGAGGGGACAGAGCTTCCCAGGCAGGAGCAGGGAGCAGGGTGCGAGGTGCGGCTGGGAGTCGGGGGCAGGATCCAGAGGGCCCTGTAGCTGACGTGCCACCCTGTGGAGAACCATCGAAGCTCTTTTGAAGCGTGGGGTTGACATGAGCAGGGGTGTGTGAAGATCACTCCAGTGGAGTGTGGAGAATGGGCTGAAGGGGGCAGTGGTGAGGAGGGAGAGCTGGGGACCCTGCTCAGCGGGTTGTGGGCAAGGAGATGCTGGGAGGGTGTGCTGGTCAGTCGTCAGCTCCAGGAGACCCAGGGAAGGCTTGGGTCCGAGTGAAAACCCAGGGTGAGAGGAGCACGTGGGCTCCCGTTTTGATGACGGCACGACTGTCCGTCGGTTTTGGGAGCGGACCGCAGCCTGAAAGCCATAGTACACTGCGTCTCCCCTGGGAGCCGCTGCTCATCCCTCCCTCTCGGTCTGTCCTGGGCGGGCCCTCTGTGCCCCCTGCTGGAAGGTGAGTGTGTGCAGGGGCGCCGTCTGCCCGCAGCGCCTGTCTCATGGCCTCTCTCCCTGCTCAGGAGCAGCTGTACAAGATGCAGCACTGGCCGCAGGTGTACCCTCCGCCCTCCCACCCGCAGCGCACCTTCTACGCGCACCACCCTCAGATGCTGGGCTTCGACCCCAGGTGGATGATGATGCCTTCCTACATGGACCCTCGGATCCCGCCCACTCGCACCCCCGTGGATTTCTACCCCTCGGCTCTGCACCCCTCGGGTAAGCTGCGTGGGCTGGTGGGCCCCGCACAGGGGCTGAAGGATGTTGCCTCGGGAGTTAGGGCCCCGGGATTCCACTCCGGCCTCCTCTGCAAGTCACAGGACAGTCTGGACTTCAACATTCTTGTTGGCAAAATGAGGGCGATAACAGCATCTGTCACCGGGAATTGTGTCTCTTCCATGTTGTTTTGTCCCTTCTTGTCATTCTTACTGCTCTTCGCGCCTTCTCTGTTTCCCTTGATTAGTCTTCCCCAGGGTTTGTTTAAAGCCATTTTTGAAAGGCAGCTTTTGGATTTCTTAATTTCTCAGTTTTATTTTTACTTCATTAATTTCTTTGCCCCCCTATTATTTCCTTTGAAATTATCCTGTTCTTTAACTAATTGTGTTGGATGCTTAGCTCATTTAATTTCGGCTTTTCTGACAAGTATTTCAGTATCACCTGAGCTATGAACGCCTAGGAATTTCACGAGAAAGCGCTTTTGCTCTCACACAGTTCTAAAGTCAGTCTGATTTTGATTTACCTTTTCTGATTATGATTTTTTTAATGATGTAAATTTTCCAAATATATAGAGTTAAAGAGTGTCCTCATGGTGTGATTTTCTAACGTGCCTGCTGTATGGTGGATATGGGCTGCGGGGCAGAGGCCGGGCGCTCGGCCGTGCTCCGCGATGCCAGGCGGTGAGTGCCGTCTCTGGCCTTGAGCAGCAGCCCCGCTTTGCTGCTGTGGAGCAAACAGCGCAGACAGCAGAGCGGGCGCCCTCGCCTCCCAGTGCAGCTATTTTTAGAGCAGGCGGCGGTCGGATTTCACTCCGGGCGGAGGGTGCCCGCCTGGCCCCGAGCAGTGATGTTTGTTGAGATTTTCTCTGTAGCCTGTAACATGGTTCCTGGTTTCTGTAAACATTCTCTGTTTGCTTGAGAAGAATAGACGTTCTCTGAGTGGCTGTGAACAGCTTGCTGGTTGTCTGGAAACAGCTGAGTCATCGCAGTTGTTCGTTCCCTTACTCAGCCGCTCAGAGGTGTGTTCAGGTCCCGCTACGACCGTGAGCCTGACCGGTCCTGTGAGCCTGGCGGTGTCTGCTTCCTCTCCCCGGAGGCAAACCCTTGTCACCACTGATTGCGCTTCCTACCTTTAATGTCTACTTTGTCTGATAGTAACAGCATTCCAGTTTTCTTTCTTTTTTAAAAAAAATATACTTTTATTGGTTTCACAGAAGAAGGGAGAGGGAGAGAGAGACAGAGAATTTTCAGTGATGAGAATCACCAGTCGGCTGCCTCCTGCAACCTGGCCATGTGCCCTGGCCGTGATCAAACTTCGACCTCCTGGTTCATAGGTCAACTTTCAACCACTGAGCCACACTGCCCGGACCAGTTCTCTTCTGATTAGGGGTCATTTGGCACCCTCTTTCCACTTCGTGCGGCAGCCTCTCCCAGCCCCTTGGGGAGTGTATCTTTGTACAATGTGTGTGGTTTCACCCACTCCAACAGTCTGTCCTTTAGAATTAGTGGGATTATTACGTTTGAATTTTCTACTCTCCTATTGTATGCTTTCTGTTTGTCCCTCTTTGCTATGCTTTTCTTTTACTTTTTTTTGGATCAAGTTTTCCCATTCTTTTTGTTTTCCTTCTACATTCTGTTTGTACTATCTTAGTAGTTACATTAAATTCCAACATGTGCCCTCGACTTAGCAAAGGCTGATCAATATCTTCACCCCAACCTGCCTCTGAGTACCTCATCGTCACTTCCCTGTTACTGCTGCCTGGACTTTGGTTTTCCCTTATGTTTACGCCCACCAGGTGGTTTTTGTTGTTCTATCCAGTCTGTGCGTATTCAGCTCTGCTGGTGTGTTTACAAGGTGCTTTGCTGCTTTTCCCTCTGGCATCTTTTTCCTTTCCTCTGGGCTCGGTTCACTTCTTCATGAAGTGTGTTCTGCCGAGCCCTTCAGAAAAGGTTTTTGGGCAGGTTTCCTTTGCCTGGAAGTCTTCCTGCCACATGCTCTTGAATGGTAGTACAGCTGGGTACAGAGTTCTAGGCTGGCAGCTACTGTCAGTCTGTGAAGAGGGCATTGCCTTTGCCTTCTTCCGGCTCCTGCTGCTGCGGAAAGTGCGTTGTTTCTCTCTGTGTCTGCACCTGCCCCTTCACTCATGGGGTTTGAATCAAAGGATGGATGTCTTTCGTCACTTTTGGAACCTTCTCTTCTAGCTATCGGTTCAGATATTAACTTCTCCTCATTCTTTGTATCCTTTCTTCCTAGGACTTCCACTTGGAGTTTTTTGTACTTTCTCATTCTGTCTTTCAAGTCTCGTAAATATGAAAGAGGTTATCTCAGGCGCCTTCTTGGAAAATGCCTCAGAACTTTTTCCAGTTCAGTCTTCCTCCAGCTGTGTCTAATCTGCCTTTTTTTTTTTTTTTACTGTCCAGTGAGTTTTTAATTTCAGTGACTAAATCACTAGAATTTTTTCTCAAATCTGTTATTTTTTGTCATATTTTTAATTCCTTTTATGCTTTTTAATCATTTAAAACATAGTTTTCTAGCGTTTAACAGATTATTCTATTACCTGAAGTCCGTGAGGAGGTGTATAACCTGTGGGTTGCTTTCCACGCGTGTTCTGGTGATTTGGGATTGCACGTTCATTTGTCACAGAGCCGACTTATCGTGGGGACCAGTATGGCTCGGGCTGAGAGGCCATCCCTCTCGGGTGGTCCCCTACCCTGGCCCAGGCCAAGACGCAAACGTAGCGTTTCCCTGGACAAAAGCGTGTATGTTTCTTACCTGCCTCTAACACCCTGCTGGCAGGTCACGAGTGTACTGGTGTCCCACCTGCATGGACGTAAGTCAGGTTACGGCCTGCAAGCAAGGGAGAGCTCTGACAGCGCGGCGGCCTGTTTCGCAGTCATGCTTGTTTGGGCTCATCAGGTACAGACCGCTTCACTGCGCAGCACCGGTTCCGGCCCCCTCAGCTTTCCTCTTCGGGTCTTTTTCTCAGCTTGTCAGTCAGTATTCAAGAGATGTGATGAGCAGTCCTCTATTCTTTCCATCCGTCTCTTATTATGACAAAAGTTTTAAAAAAGATGCACCACAGCAGAGAAGAACGTTTGGGTGAATTGTGTGCAGACACTTTCTCTGATTGGCTGAGTGACTGTGGAGTCAGCTGGAAGACAGTCCTTTGTCGGAGGACAGTGATGAGTCTGACATTAGACCGACTCGAAGGCAAAAAGAAACGTGATAGTGTCCGACAGTGAAAGAAATTCCGAAGAAGAATGGGCAGAAAAAAGTATTTTACCAGCCTTGGAGGATTATACAAATATTTCCGGCATAATTGAAGACCCACAAAGTATAAGTGAAGTAACCAATTTATTTTTTTTAAATATATTTTTATTGATTTCAGAGAGGAAAGGAGAGGGAGAGGCAGAAACATCAATGATGAGAGAGAATCATTGATCAGCTGCCTCCTGCACTCCCCCTACTGGGGATCGAGCCTGCAATCCAGGCATGTGCTCTGACTGGGAATCGAACCATGACCTCCAGGTTCATAGGTCGACACTCAACCACTGAGCCATGCTGGCCAGCCACCAATTTTTTGATAAGGATTTTTTTTTAATATATTTTATTGATTTTTTACAGAGAGGAAGGGAGAGGGATAGAGAGTTAGAAACATCGATCAGCTGCCTCCTGCACATCTCCCACTGGGGATGTGCCCGCAACCCAGGTACGTGCCCTTGACCGGAATCGAACCCGGGACCTTTCAGTCCACAGGCCGACGCTCTATCCACTGAGCCAAACCGGTTTCGGCAGGATTTTTTCTATCTCATTACCTCTCAAACCAATTCATGCCATTACCAAATGCAAAAATACCACAAAACCTCTGCTAAAACTTCACCATGGATGGATGTCACTTATATGGATATAAAGGAGATTCTTGGTTTAATTTTGTTGATGGAACTAATGAAGAAGCCAGAATGCAAAGATTACTGGTCAACTGATCCTTTACTTGAATCACCATATTTCTAAAAACTATGACTAGGAAGAGGTTCAACTTCCTTTTTTTGTTGTTGTTGTTGTTGCAACTTCCCAATAGATATGGGTGAAAGCAAAAAGTTCCAACAGACTACGTTACCCGTCTTACAGATTTTCCTGGTTCTTGGCATCATATTTACCAAGATAATTGCTACGCAGTGTGTCTACAGCTGAGCTATGGAAGGTAAACGCTGTTCTGAGGAGCAGGAGGGAGAGCCGTGGTGCTGGAACTACAGAAGAGCAGCCGGTCTCGGCGGAGGACACGGCCCTTGGTGGCCTGGCTTTGCGCAGCGTCCCAGCTGCAGCTCCGCACCGCGCAGAGCCCATCCCTGCGCGTGAGCCCGCTGACGACCAAGCCCGTAGGTTAGGTCGCGGGGGAGCCCCGCTCAGTCCCAGCACCTGGGCTCGCGGTTCCCCGGGACACCGGCTCTGCGAGCACAGTGTTCGCTGGACTCTGTCCAGCATCTCCGTGGTGAGAAGTGCTTGTGGCAGAAGGGTTTGCCGGGGAATAAGGCTCCATGTTGCCACTAGTCGGCCGACGCACAGTGCTGAGCGGGTCAGCCTGCCTCAGTCACTGCTTGGTAAACGCTGTGCAATGCGGGGCTCCAGAGAGTCCCCACCGCTCCCTGACTCAGGGTCCACAGCCAGAGGGAGCTGGAAGCACTGGCCTGAGGTAGAAGCACAGTCCCGGCCTGGCTCAGCGTAAAGGATGAGCACAGCAAAATGCTTGGCTATTAATAGACTTTTGAAGAAAATATTTGGAAAATCAGATCTTTTTTCTCCACAGACTGAGGCCCAACAAAACCTTTATATCATATGCACCAGCCGGACTCCCTCGTCTGATAGCTGGGGACAGCGGCATAGAGGGGACAGCGTCCCAGAGCCTTTGTATCTGGCAGGGCCCCCATGGCTCAGGCCACCTAACAGTGCACTGTTACTTACGCAGCGTGCTGCCCTCCTGCAGGAGTGTGGCTGCCCCTCCTGTGGGAGTGTGGCTGTCCCTCCTGCAGGAGTGTGGCTGTCCCTCCTGTGGGAGTGTGGCTGCCCCTCCTGTGGGAGTGTGGCTGTCCCTCCTGCAGGAGTGTGGCTGTCCCTCCTGTGGGAGTGTGGCTGCCCCTCCTGTGGGAGTGTGGCTGACCCTCCTGTGGGAGTGTGTGGAGTTGCTGTCAGCCTCGGGGTGAGCAATAGAAGGAATGAAACCTGTTCCAGCTCCTTGCCCAGGTTCTGAAGCAGGTAGTGCCAGCCCATCCGTGGAGGCTCTCGGTGGGCAGCTCACCGTCCCTGAGTCCGGCCCCTCTGCGCACGGAGATTCTCGTTGCCGACCGGCCCTTGCTGGCCTCCTGCCAACAATGATGAACTCTGGTTTGATATTTCCGGTTCCCATTGCCAGTTTGATACGCCCTTCGTCGCAGGGGTCCTTGATCTGGAAACAGGCTGGACGTCCCAGGTCTGGTCTCACTAGCCCCTCAGGTGGCGTGCTGTGGCTTCAGGGCCGGTGAAGACCCCAGAGATGGGCCTGGGAGTGCCGCGCCGTGCCGGTCAGGTCACTGCTGTCTTCTTTGAGCCTGTGGTTGACCTTGAGGTTGGAGCACGGTTTTCGAACGGATGACCTAGATCAGTTCTTTCCCCCTTCAGGACTGATGAAGCCCATGGTGCCCCCAGACTCCGTCAGTGGGACTAGCTGTCGCTCTGAGGATCAGAGCCGTGTCCCCCAACTGCAGGAAAGAAAAGTGACCGCCATCGACCCAGCCCCTGTGTGGAGCCCCGAGGGCTACATGGCATTGCAGAGCAAGAGCTACTCTCTGCCTCCCCCAAAACCCAGCGACACTTTGGCCATGGACATGCACGTCAGGTGAGACACACGTGGTCCTGCCAGCTGCACCCACAGGAGACTCTCCCAGGAGACCCTGCCAAGGGCAAGGGCGCAGGAAGGGCCTGCCGGTGCCTCTGGGAAGGAGAGCGTGGGGGTGGCTTGGATGCTGGTGTGAGTCGCTTGTCTGATGGTGAGACTGAAGGCCCAGGAGAAATCGGTTCAAGGCGAGGCTCTGAATGGGGCAGGGCGGGGAGGGGACTCGGCTCAGCGGGCCGGCTGAGCTGTGGGGACTCCTTCCTGTGAAAGCAAAGCAAGCTGGCCCCGCCGGCAGTGCCGGCCTCTGCGCGGACCCCAGGCTCCAGCTGATCGAAGCAGAGGATCCCGCCACTCTCCGTCTCCGGGGTGGCACGCCGCGTCCACCCTCAGCCACCGCCTTCTTCACTCTGGACTCCAGGGCCACCCACCAGTCCGTGGCCCAGCCACTGAGACCTGTTTAAAGATAGAGGAAATGTTGGTGCTTATGTTTTTCCTTTTTTTTCTTTTTTCGTTTTTGTTTTTTACATTTTTTTCTTTTGAAAACTAAGCTCTGTGTTCAGCATGGAAAGCAGGAACCAGGCTCCAATCACATTGACTGGTTTTTCTGGTTCCTTTTCAGGAATGAAAGCGCTTACTCTGCCTCACCCGGAAGGTCAGGGGGCGTAGGTGCCCCGCGCGCTCCCCTTGAGGAGAGAGTGGAGGAGTACTTGAGTGCTTTTGACAAGAAGGCCCAAGCAGACTTTGACAGCTGTGTCTCTTCCCAAAGAAGAGGCCAGGAGCTTTTGTTTCCACCCCAAGACAGTGTGCAGGACGCAGGTGCTCCTCGGGGCCACACCCCAAACCTCAGGTGTTCCCCACTGGAGCCCGACTTTGCCCCGGCTGAGAACAAGCCAGACTATAGCAATTGGGATGTTAGCCCCCAGCCCAAGGCCGCTGACACAGCCAACGGTGTGGACAAGGAGGCGCCCCGGGAGGAGCCGCCCTTCAATGCCTCCTCCTGGGAGAAGGAAGGGAGCCCCCACAAACAGCCGTCCCTGGAGCCCGAGTGGACCGCCGAGCCCCGGGGCCCCGGCAGCCAGCAGCAGGAGCAGACCAGCAGGACCCGGCGGTCGGGGCCCATCAAGAAGCCGGTGCTGAAGGCGCTCAAGGTGGAAGACAAGGAGAAGGAGCTGGAGAAGAGCAGGCCGGAGCCGGGGGAGGAGAGCGCCCGCCAGCCCCCGGAGGAGGTGCCGCGTCACCAGGACCAGGACGAGGACGAGGACCAGGAGAACGACCCCACGCTGGCCAACGCCGCCCCCTCCGCCTCGGAGGCCCCGGGCGCGGCCCGAGATGGCGTGGGCCGCTCTGCCAGCAAGTCTGAGGAGGACGACCAGCCCGACAGGGCCTGGGAGCCCAGGCCGGCCCGGGAGCCCAGCGACCCGCCCCTGACCAAGAGGAGCAACTGGATCTTCATCGATGAGGAGCAAGCCTTTGGGGGCCGAGGGCAGGCCCGGAGCCGCGGCCGCGGGTTCCGAGAATTCACTTTCCGTGGCCGGCCTGCGGGCGGCGGCCCCGGCATCGGGGGCGGGGGGGTCCTCGGGGTGCGGGGCATCTACACCAACAGCCAGAGGAGCGGCCGCGGCCGGGGCCTGCGCGAGTTCGGGCCGCCCGAGGACTTCCCCCGCGCCAAGCCCCGGTGCCGCATCGCCAGCGAGACCCACAGCGAGGGCTCCGAGTACGAGGAAGCTGCCCAAGCGGCGGCGGCAGAGAGTCTCGGACAGCGGCCACGAAGGCTCGCTCCTGGACAGGGAGGAGGCCGCCTCCAGGAAAGGCGACTTCAGGGACTCGTGGCGGTCCCACAAGATGTACCCCCGACGATCACAGCGGTCTGGAGGCCAAGAGCAGAGGCCCGCGGGCCTTCGGGCGCGCCCTCCCTCCCCGGCTGAGCCACTGCGGCTACGGGCGGAGAACCTTCGTGTCCAGGGAGGCCGCCCACTGGCAGAGCCGCAGTGCCGGCGCCTGCTGGCAGGACCACGGTTCCCCCGACACCGGCCCCCGGCGGCCCCCCGACAGAGACTGCGTCCCAGAGGCCTCCTGGCACCCCGAGGCCCTTGGCGCCAGGGGCTGCGAGGACGGCCGCCTGGAGGACAAGAGGCCCTTCTTCCCGGACGACCACGGGGCCGATGCTGAGAGCGCGGAGAACCGGCCCTTCCGGAGGAGGCGCCCCCCGCGCCAGGACAAGCCCCCGCGCTTCCGGCGCCTCCGGCAGGAGCGCGAGTCCCTGGGGGTGTGGGGGCCGGAGGAGGAGCCCCACCTGCTGGCGGGTCAGTGGCCAGCCAGGTCCCAGCTCTGCCCCGGGGACAGGAGCGGCGCCGTGGGCCGCAGGTCCCCCGAGCTCTCCTACCAGAACTCCTCTGACCACGCCAACGAGGAGTGGGAGACCGCCTCCGAGAGCAGCGACTTCAGCGAGCGGCGCGAGCGGCGGGACGGCTCCGGGCCCGAGCCCGGCCCCCACGTGGACGGCAGCCTGCCCGGGGCCAGCCTGGGGGAGAAGAAGGAGCTGGCCAAGCGGAGCTTCTCCAGCCAGAGACCCCTGGTGGACCGGCAGAGCCGGAAGCTGGAGCTGGGAGGGTTTGGGGAGAAGGCTGTTAGGCCAGGCGGTGGTGACACCTCTCCCCATTATGAGAGCCAGCAGAGTGGGACGCCTTTGAAAGCCAAAAGGTAAACAAAACAAAATCGGGTCCTTTTGTTGCTTGTTCTGTGATCGAGCCGGTGTTGCGAGCAGCACTCCATGCATGCGTGTCCCGCCGTGTGTCGGGCCGCCCCGCACCCGAGGGGCTGCCGCAGCCCTTGTGTGTGAGCGTCTCCCTCGCTCGCCCCTGCACCGTGTGTCTGCTTCCTGTGGCGTTTTGTTGTTGTGGCTTGAAAACTAAAACCAAAACCAGAGTCCCCGTTGTGGCTTGAAAACTAAAACCAAAACCAGAGTCCCCGCCCCCGTGGTCCTCTTATGTGGCACCTGTCCCAGGAGTTCAGCCTCCTTGTGCTTGCCCCGAGGCGGCTCTGGCACCTTTGGGCACTGCGCTGTGTGTGATAAGACAGGCAGTAGCGCAGGGAATGGGTGTGATAAGACAGGCAGTAGCACAGGGAATGGGCAGCCTGAGGCCTGTGAGTGGCTGGCCCGGGATTGGAGGCTGTGATATGGATGCCCCAGCTCAGTGCCCGCGGGCTGCCCGGGCTCAGGAGAAGGACCTGAGCATGCGGAGATGCTCCCACCTGCCCCTGCTCAGATTTGGGGCAGAGCCTGGGGTGACTTCCCCGAAAGGGAGCCACAGGGCGTGCGGATTCTTGGGTGTCGGTGAGTCTAGCTTCCCAGGACTCAGATGCCGAGGCCTGGCTTTGCCTCTGACTTCTGCCCCAAGGCCTGGTGGTGGCCGAGGCCGGGGCGTCTGCTGGTCAGTGTTGTGACAGGAGGACGCCCTGCAGCTCTGTCCTTTGTGGAGTCCTGCTGAGCTTGGCTCACAGTGGGAAGGCAGAGTACTGAGCCCTGGCAGGGGCGGTGCGGCTGGAGGGGGCCTCCCCGTGGCCTGCCCGGGAGTGGCTTCCATGGTGCGTGCTGTGTGCTTAGGTGGTTTCCCGTTGCTTCCCCAGCCGTGGTCGCTTCTGAGCTAACGAGGTCCCCTTCCCTTCCAGGACCCCGGACGAGGCCTTGCCAGGAGGTCACAGTGGTCACTACACCCTGGAGCGGGCTGCCCATGCCACCTCTGACGTCCCCGAAGCCGCCTGTGAGAAGGCAGAGGAGGCCACCCTGGCTGCTCAGAGGGTGGGCGAGCCGGGAGAGGCCATGAAGCAGTTTGACCTGAACTACGGAAGTGAGTCTGTTGCCTCGCATCTTCGGGGGAGGGAGGGAGCCGAGCCAGGTGAAATGGGGCCTCGCCCTGCAGGCTGCCCTCTCACTGTGTCTGACCCTCTGGGGGAGGCCCTGGGCCTTGTTCCGGGGCACGGAGATGGGCAGAACAGATGCGACCCCTGCACTTGTGTTTCTCACAGTTTGCCAAACCCCTTAACTGCCCTACAGTGCCCCCCGTCCCCCCCTCCCTTGTAAAGATGGGAACCCGAGGCCCAGAGAGGTTGAGTGGTTCGTCCAGGGTCACATGGCTAATTAGGAGCAGAGCTGGGACTGGTGTCTCTATTTCCAAAGACTTTTCTGGGCTGGAGTGTCACTTAGGGCTCTTGGGTTTGCGTGGACGGTTTGTTAGAGCACGTGAGAGGTGTGGAATCCCAGCTCATTCTGTGGACACAATGAACTCCACGGCTCCTGGGAGGTACCAGCCAGGCACTGCCGGCCTTTGGAGCTGAGCTGTCCCAAGATGTCAGGTGCCTGTGGGGATGGGTTCTTCTTGGCCTCCGATGAGTGGAACACCATCCCTTCGCGTGAACTCTTGGTTCAGATTCCATCCTCGAGAATTGTGGGCCCAGCCCCGGGGAGGAGACGGAGGTGGGCTCCATGGTGGGTGAAGGCTTCATCGAAATCCTGACCAAGAAGCAGCGCCGCCTGCTGGAGGAGGAGAGGAGGAAGAAGGAGCAAGCTGCGCAGGTGAGGAGCGCGAGGGAGGAGGAGCAGGGTGGCGGGTGGTGGGTGGCGGGTGGCGCCAGCCGGTGCGGGGAACCACAGCCAGGAGGCTCCGAGTTCTGAATGGAGCCCAGGATGGGAGGGAGGAAGGAGGAGGGAGGAGTGTCCCTCAAACACCGCCCGCAGCGCCCACAGTGGATGACCCCTTCCCTGTTCTCAAAGAGGGACTGTCCGGTGACAGCAGCTGGAGCCCAGCAGGCGCGGTGCAGACGGCCTCAGCCCCTCGTCTCCTCCCCCTGCGCCCGTGGGACCCTGTGCTCACACGGCGCCCGTGGGGCAGTGCACACTGTCCTGTTGTCTGATTCATCGCAGTCACTGGCTGTGAGCCCTTGCCAGGTGTGGCATTAACACTCCCTCATGGTTGAGGTCTTGAGAGACGAGCGTCCCAGCATTGCTGGGGCGAGTTCTCTTGGTTCTGATGCCCCAGAGACGTTTGCTGGGAGAATGTCACGTTCCCAGCCTTCCCCAGAGGTGGGAGAGCCCATCTGTCTGGGCTCTGGCCAGCAGAATGTGCATGAAAATGTACACCCCTTCCTCGGTTTGCGAAAAAGCAGAACAACTTGGGCCTGGAGCAAGGCGATGTGCCCGTGCCGGGCAGCAGCCTGGGCACTGAGATCTGGGAGAGCAGTGGCCAGGGTAAGAGCAGGGGTGCCTGGGCCTAGATGCTTAGCCCCTGGCTGTTCTCTTTTTAGGGAACATCTGCTTTCAGGACTGGGAATGTGGGTGGGGCGTAACCTGCTCCGGAGTCCTCTGAGCCAGTGTTAGCCCCACCTTAGCCCATGGGTGGCTGTCGCCCCTGAGCAGGTGTAGACTTGCCCTGCCTTGCAGTTGCTGGAAGAGCAAAGCGTTCCCTGAGTCTGGAGACCTGGAGACAGGTTGGCCCCGCCCCCCCCTCACCAGGGCACTCGAGCTGGCCTGGCTCCCTTTGCCCACGACACTCACCCTTTCCTGTTATGGGTAAAGGAGCGAGGAGTACCTGCCAGGAGGGCACCAGGGCCGGGGCTTTGTGATCTGTGCACTGGCCTTTCCCAGCCCGGAAGGAAGGCTCTGTCAGCCCCGAGGCACTCTCTGACTCAGGTGGACTTCGCTCTTTAGAAAATTTGTTCCCCTGAACTTTTAAAAAATCTATATTCAACGCTCTTTTTCTAGTAACTTTAAAAACATAATACCATCTTAATCAGTGGTTCTCAACCTTGGCTGCACATTAGAATCACCTGGGAATCTTTTTAAAATCCTGATTTCTGGGCCTCATCCTCCGGAAATTCTGTTTCTTTGTTATGGGGTGGGGCCACAACATCAGTAACAAAGAAACAGAATTTCCGGAGGATGAGGCCCAGAAATCAGGATTTTAAAAAGATTCCCAGGTGATTCTAATGTGCAGCCAAGGTTGAGAACCACTGATCTTAATGGAACCAGTTCCTCTTGAATGCCCACTTTGGACAGGATGGCCTCTACCATCCTGCAGGGAACATAGAACAAGGCACGTAGCCCTCCCCGGGGAGCATGGAGAAGTCACCCACAGCCAGTTGTGTGACACAGCGCAGCCCAGGCTTCAGGGTGAGCCTGAAGAGGTCCTGGGCTCCGGCCTGGACTCGCAGTTGTGCCGCGTGGCCTGTCCCCATTGCAGAACGAGGCTGGGAAGGACTCGGCTCTGATGGCAAGAGCCATGGCCTCTCAGGGAAATACTGACGTCAGACGGTGGGTGGTGTGTGACGGGTGTGTCAGAGCGAGCAAGTCCGAGACACCTGTCCCCGGAGCCCGGGAGCGGGCTTCTGTCGTCAGACCACGGTCTGGGCGATCTGAAGGTCACACTGAAGTCGTGTGGACAGGCACGGGGCCATGGCTGCTGTTGGCGTCTCGGTGGCGGCGGCGTGGGCCTTGCGGGACTGGCAGCAGCTCCCGCTGGTAGAAACAAATAGTTGGCTTGAGTGAGGGAAGCCTCAGCACAGCAGAGATGAAGTCTGCCTGCGGCTGCTGGGCAGGGGCGTGACGCTCAGACCAGCTCCCCAGTATCAGCTGCTCACTGGCGTGTGGGCGGGGACCACGAGGGCCGTGAGGACCTGGGTTTGTGTACGCCACGCCTGTGCTCGCCTTGGCAGCCTCCTGCTCCTTTCTGATGCCCTGATTCTCTGCTTCCTCCTCCGGCAGCCCTGCCCGTTCAGGCCTCAACCAGCGATTCCTGGACTAAAGCCGCCACGGCCTTCAACAGCTCCGAGCCCGGCTCCGCCGAGGTGAGTGCGCTGTGTGCTCACAGGCGGGGGTGCTCGCCGCCCATGTGGCTGCCTGGCCTGGGCTTCGTCCGTCCTACGGCCCACGCCCTCCCTCAGCCACAGTAGTTGAGCCTGGACCAGAGGCCATTTCCTCAGGCCCCGGCTTGTGGCTGGACTACAGCCTCGGTTTCTGACCTATGTGAGATGCCTGTGTGAGAGGGAGGAAGGGGGTTACCCCACCCCCTGTAGGGGAGCAGTCGGGGCTCTCCTTCAAACCGGGAGCGGTGGTCACTCCGTTTGGTTTGGGTCACAAGAGGGATGCGTGTGACCGTCTCAGACGAGGGCCCACTGGGGGTCTGGAGGTTCGGGCAGGGCTGCCTTTGGCCACATCCCTTCAGCTGTGGGGTCAGGTCCCAACGCGGGACAAGACTGCGCACAGGCAGGCAGCGCGGGGAGCCTGGGGGTCAGGGCTCTAACCCGTTGGTGCCTTGCACAGCAGGGCTTTAAGAGCAGCCAGGGAGACAGTGGTGTGGACTTGAGCGCCGAGTCTCGAGAGTCGTCTGCGACCTCGTCGCAGCGCAGCTCGCCCTATGGCACTCTGAAACCAGAGGAGATGAGCGGGTCCAACCTGGAGCCCAAGGCTGACGGCCATAAGGAGCCGGCTCAGAAGCAACCCGAGCAAAAGGTAACCTGGAGTCCCTCTTGCAGGGGCCGGGCCTGGGCAGAAGGGCTCATTGTCTCGTCTTCTGCCCCGATTCCCGCGCGCGTAGAAGGTCATCTAGTCTGTGTTCAGCTGCTCTGCTTTCCCGTCAAGGATTCAGAACAAGGCTCAGCGCAGAGCAAGGAGCACAGACCAGGACCCATCGGCAACGAGCGCTCCCTGAAGAACAGAAAGGGCTCCGAGGCGGCCGAGCGCCTGCCGGGCGCCGCTGTCCCGCCGGTCAACGGGGTGGAGATTCACGTGGACTCCGTGCTCCCGGTGCCGCCCATCGAATTTGGAGTCAGTCCAAAAGTGAGGCTTTGGCTTATTTCCTTTCTCCTTTATTTTTTTTGTACTTGGAGGGAAGGAGGGGCTTGGACAGGTTGTCTCCTAGAAGGAGCAGAGGGGTGAGCTGGCGGCACCGGGGAGCGTGCGGGTGAGCGTGGACGGAGGTGCTAGTGAGCTGCCCCCTAGATGCCCTGCTGACGCCAGCCGGTTCTCAGGCTGCGCGGGCGGCAGTCTTTATGGTCTCTGTCGGGTGGGGCAGTGGGCACGGCAGGAGCGAGGATGAGGGGCGGCACCCTTCCCTCCTGTGCCGCTGGGGAACATGCGGCCATGTTGCTTGCGTGGTGGGTTTTTAGAGGCGCTGAGACCGTGTCTCTGCCGCAAGGTGAGCCAGGATCTCCAGGGCTCTGTCCCCTTTTCCCAGGACTCCGACTTCAGCTTGCCGCCGGGGTCTGCCCCCGGCCCCACGGGGAATCCAGTGGTCAAGCTCCAGGACGCCCTGGCTAGTAACGTGAGTGTGCTTCCTCGCCAGCCCTGGCCCCGCACTGCTCGGCCCTGGGGTCAGGCAGACCTGGGTTTGAGTCATGACATAATTTCTAGCTGCTTACTGTCTTCCACTAGTTGTTTGAATGTTCTACACCCAGTTTTGTAACCTTAAAATGGGGCAGTGTGTTTCCCAAGGTCTGGTTTGGGTAGCATGCTTCGATTCTCTGTTCTTCCAAGTTCCGTGGTCATGTTTGAGATGCTGGGCGAACCACGCTTCCGGACTGAGCTCCCGGGGCCCGCAGCATGCTGAGGGCCCCGCCCAGCGCAGCAGGAGCGGCCAGCAGGCATCGCTGAGGCTCTGTCACAGGCACCTGTTCCTCAGCCTCCTGGAGGTCTCCACGCCTGCGTGCCGGCAGCCAGTCGTTACGTTGCTGGCACATGCCCATCCCTGCTAGAGGGCTCTGGGGAATGGGGGGCTCTCCTGGGCCTCTGTCAAGGGAAGCCATGAAGGCAGCTCTTTGGAGAAGATAAACTGGTCTCAGCTGCTGGCAGCTTCATCTTGTGGCCTTAGGTGCACACGACCAACTCTGAAGGGCATTTTGACACATCGTCGTCTCGCTTCCTCTGCCTGGTTGTCCCATGGCTTCTTGTCTCCTCCAGGCCGGGCTGACACAGAGTATTCCCATCCTGCGGCGAGATCATCACATCCAGAGGGCCATCGGCCTCTCCCAGATGTCCTTCCCCACGGCCGACCTCACTCTGAAGGTAACACCAGTCCTGATCTCAGCAAGGCCCATGCGGGGCCCTGGCTTGTGAGGAGGCGGGAGCGGGCAGCCCCACCCACTGCCACTGCCTCTCCCTAGTAGTGTTCATCCCTCTCCTCCCCTTGCTTCCAAAGATGGAGTCTGCGCGGAAGGCTTGGGAAAACTCGCCCAGCTTGCCGGAGCAGAGCTCTCCGGGAGGCCCTGGCTCGGGCATCCAGCCCCCGTCCTCTGTGGGAGCCTCCAGTGGGGCCAACTACAGCTCCTTCGGCGGCGTCTCCATGCCGCCCATGCCCGTGGCGGCCCGAGCCTCCTCGTGCGCTTCGACAGAAGCGTGGGGCTGGCAGCCCTGAACCCACCGACCGTGACTTAGGGAGTCTGTGCAAGTGGGAGTCGGGCTGCCTCTAGGCTGGGCGATCCCAGCTTCTCACGGCTGCAGACGGCTCGCACTTGCTTCTGCTTCCCTGATCGCACTTGCTTCTGCTGGGAGGGAGGAGCGAGCCGAGATGGGCTTTGAGTTGGATCGGGGTTAATGGGGGCGGGGTCACTCTGCCAGTGAGCAGCTCAGCCCTGAGCCTCGGTCTGTGCTCTGTAAAACCAGCCCGGGCGAGGATGGCGCTCCATGGGGTAGCCACGCCGACCAGAGGCCATACCTGAAAGTGCTTGCCTATCAGCTGAATCCTCAGTCAGTAACGGACATGTTGTCCTTCCCGCCAGCGTCCTGGTCGTGGTGTCGGTGCCCAAAGGGGGAGGGTGGGGATTTTGAGGTGCTGGCTGCCGAGGTCTCAATGATGGAATCCCAATAGATCCTTCTGACCCTCCACTGTGGACTCAATAGCAGGGAGATGAAGAGGAACGTGGCTGAGAGACCGAGGCAGCTGCACGCAGTGGGCACGAGGGGCGTGGGAGGGTGGGCACAGCGTGTCCCCTAAGGGTCCTCGGCAACAGTGAGACCTGATCCTGTTCTGCCTCCGTGGGTTCTGTCTCCAGGCAGCCACCTGCCACCTCTCTACCTGGATGGGCACGTGTTTGCCAGTCAGCCCCGGCTGGTTCCTCAGACCATCCCGCAGCAGCAGAGCTACCAGCAGGTGATGGCGCAGGCCGGGCGGCGGGGGGCGGGGCGGTGTCAGAAGTCCTGTGTTTCTTCTTTCTCTGAATCCCTCTCGCGTAATGCCCAGCACCTGCGTGTCCTGGCAGCCAGTCAGTGTGGGGCAGGAGTAAACGAGGCGAGGAGTGGAGCTCAGTGCTCCAGACTCTGCTTAGTTTTCCTTCGAGTTCTCCTCTGGGTCCTGGCCGGGACTAGCTGAAACGGAATTCTCTTTGGTGATCAGGTATCCTTCTGATGAAGAGAAGCAAGGCCTAGACTCCCAGGCATGGATGCATTAGAAAGAGGTAGTTTTAGAACAAGCAGGCGTTCGTTTTTATGTGGCACCGGCATCGTTTCCATGCTGCAGGGGATGCTTTCTGGACGTCGGACCTGGCGCGGGGCCAGACCTTGCCTGCGCCGACCAGCACCAGGCTCCCCTCGGAGGCGCTGCTCAGAGCAGATTCGGGACAGAGGGCAGAGGACTTGGCCTGTCCTGACCCCTTTAAAACGTGTTCTTAAATATTACCTTGTGCAGTTGTGCAAGGTGTTGGTCTTCACGGAACTGGGTCCTACTGCATGTGTTCTGTGTGTGGTTGTCCACGCACCCTCGCGTGAGCGCCACCTCAGTGCGTGGAGCTAGGCAGTGTCTGACGCGTAGAGCAAAAGCGCAGGAAGGAGGTGCTGGGACCGGCACGTGGGGCGGGGTTCCAGCCGCGTGCGGAGGGGAAGGGAAGAGCAGCTCGGAGGGCCCCGCAGTGACCTGCTGGCTTCCCCACAGGCTGCCGCTGCCCAGCAGATCCCCATCTCCCTCCACACGTCTCTGCAGGCGTCAGCCCAGCTGGGGCTGAGGGGCGGGCTCCCCGTCTCCCAGTCACAGGAGATCTTCAGCTCCTTGCAGCCCTTCAGGTGAGACGGGGACGAGGGCTGGCGGCTCACAGGCGGAGCTCGGGCCTTTGCAGCCTGCGCACTGGTTCCCTTTGTTCTCCTTGGGGTGAGGGTGTGTGGTCACTTACAGTTCGTTCTTCACTGTGTGCAGGAGGGGCTGTGGGCCTGCTGCCCTGCCCTCCGCCACGCCCACGCCCGCTGCCTCCAGCTGCCCTTGCTGTGTCTCACGTCCAGTGCTTTTGGGTTTCCTGCGTCTTGTATGTTTGTCCATTCGTTTAATCCAGTGATGCCCCAACTGTGATCCCTGGACCAGCAACATGGGCACCATCCAGGGGGCTGTTCTGAACGTCGAGGGGTAGGGCCAGCAGAGTGTTTGCGCAAGCCCTCTGGGTTCTCACGCGGGCACTCCCACACCTGCCCTGGTATCGTCTGGCTTTTGCAGGTCGCAGGTGTACATGCACCCCAGCCTGTCCCCGCCCAGCACCATGATCCTCTCTGGAGGCACCGCCCTGAAGCCTCCGTACTCGGCGTTTCCCGGCATGCAGCCCTTGGAGCTCGTGAAGCCCCCGTCCGGCTCCCCCTACCAGCCCATGAGCGGAAGCCAAGCCCTGGTCTACGAGGGCCAGCTCAGCCAGGCGGCCGGGCTGGGCGCCTCCCAGATGCTGGACTCCCAGCTCCCCCAGGTCAGGCGTCAGTCCCCCCCAACTGCTTTTCCCTCGCCTGCCTCTCGGTGTGCTGACTTGCTGCTGTAGCTGGAACCAGGTCACAGGCTCAGCCCCTTCTGAGGGATCCCATCACCTCTGTGTCGTGTGTCGTGTCGTCCGTCCCCCCCCCCCCCCCCCCGCTGTGGGGCATGAAGCATAAAGTGCTAAACTTACTGTTCACCGCATACTCAAAAAACATTGTTCAGACATCGGGTCCAAAACGTGATTTTCTCCCTGGTCCTTGAGGTGGTCCAGTCCGCATCACCCCCTCTGGGCCTTCAGCAGGTCTGTCGGCTCTGCATTTGGAAAGTATTCAGAGTCCAGCCGGTCCTCGTCCCTGCACCCCTCCCTGCCCAGGCTCCTGCATGAACCCCCGCCCCCTCCCTTTAAAACAGGTGTTGTACGCAGATGGGGCCTGGGTCTTAGAGGCTCTGGCTGCCACGTGTCTCGGTGATGCAATCCCAATAGATCCTTCTGACCCTCCACTGTGGACTCACCAGCAGGGAGATGAAGAGGAAAGTGACTGAGAGACAAAAAGTGGCCCCCCTGCCCCCTCCCCTCACCCACCTGGTCTGGACATTCGAAGTGGTCGCTTAGGCCTTGCAGTTGCCTTTCTCTTGTCACAACGTGCTTGTGCTTCAGAAGCTTCTAGGAAGCTCGAGTTTGGTTCCAAGAACCCTGACCCCGAGCCTCGTCCTCTGACCTTAGGGGCAGGCAGTGGCGGGCAGCCCGGTGCTGCACGGAGGGGGCGAGGGAGCCTCCAGCCTTGTTCTCACCTGGGATCTGATCCACATGGACGTCCCCTCCCGAGCCTCTCTGGCCCTCCCTAGCTTTTCACCCACCTCACCACCCGCACATGCACACGCACCCGCACACGCACACGCACACGCACACGCACATGCACGCACTCGCACCCGGGGTGCTGCCTGCTCTCTGCACTCCGGCACCAGCGCTGTGTCCAGGATGGCACCGCCCTGCCCTCGTGGCTCTGGGTCTGACAGTGTCCTGGTGCTTTCCCCGCACAGGGTGCATTCAGCGAGCCTTCGCTGGGTGGGAGCGGGGAGGGCTGGAGCACACACGCCCTTTCCACCTGGGAGAGGAGCCCCACCCCCGGGTGGCACTGGCCAGCTGCTGCGGCCTCGTCCCGTGCCTGCTTCACCACCCACTGTGCCGGCGGAAGTCCAGGGTGCCCTGCGGCTCTCAGGGAAAGCGAGTCTCTCCCGCTGCAGGAAGGCCTCGCTGTGACTTGAGTCTGATGTGTGCTTGCTCTTGGGCGGGAGTGTGAACAGTGGTTTGTGACTTTCTCCCCCACCACCACCCCTTTCCTGACTGTCCCTGTTGTCAGCAGCTGACGATGCCACTGCCCGGCTCCCAGCTGCCTCTGCCGCGGTACGGCTCCGGACAGCAGCCCCTGCTCCTGCCCCAGTCCATCCAGCTGCCACAGGGGCAGAGCCTCTCGGTGGGGGCCCCTCGCAGAATTCTTCCGCCCGGGTCCCAGCCTTCGGTCCTTAACACCAGCAGAGAGGTGAGCGCGACTCCGTCCTGCTGGGGTCCTGGAAGGGTCTTCCCAGCCCTCATGTTAGCCAGACACCACTGCTGTGGCAGGAAAGGCCAGGGTCTGGGGCACAGCCTCTTGCCTTCCCGTGGCCAGTGCCCTGGTCAGTGTGCCAGCTGGCCGTGTGGACGAGCTCAGGTGTGCGTGGCCCACGCCGGGAGGAGGTGTGTCGGTCCATGCCTGGTCCCTGTGTGGGCGCGGAGCACCCGAGGGGCCAGTTTGGGTGCAGGTCCTGGAGGCCCAGGTAGAGGCCTGGGGCTGGAGCCCAGGGCCCAAGCCCCACGGTTCTGTGGAGGACTCCTCCTCAGGCAGACGGCAGCAGCACCCGTGGTGGTGCTCAGCCCT